AATATAATAATTATTGTCAGAATTAAGTACGATAATAAATGTTTTTATTTCAGCAGTTGTGTTTTCTTTGTAAAAGTATACCACTTCATTAGCCAGCCCCCTTGAAAGAGTTTACACTTTCGATACGTAGCGGTTTCGTGAGGAAGTAGGGTCTGGTCAGCTAACTGGCGCTTAAAGGGCGGAAGGGTTGACGGACAGGAAACGACCAATGAAAGTCGATTTGTCAACGAGATTCTTTTACATTGAAATGTACCAATATTAACGTGCGAAGTTTAGCGCTCGAGTTGGCATGCCGCACCAGCGTGGCTCGTATCCAGAGTCTGAAGATTGCGTTCGTAGGGATTCGTACCAGAAAAAACTGCAGACGTAGGACGAAACAAGATTGAGCGAAGGAGCCAGAAACGACTAGTCAGAAACCATGCGTATGGCAGAACATTCAAAACCAAAACATGTACTGAGTGAATTGACAATAGAGTAGGTGATCAGGCCAGTTTCCACCAAAGTTGACTGAAGTCGACGGTACCAACAGGGTGATGGTCGCAAACATGGGCTCAGGATACAAAATGAAAGATAAAGAGAAATATGTAACATGCATGTAGTACGAGAATAGGGTACCATCAAGTTTCAGTTGTTGTGTGGATGGTTATTCGAGAAAGCGTACAGGTAAACGCCAGGCGGTAGTTTCGTACGCTCCTTGTGTGCCGTCAACCTCATTCGAAGTCAAAGACGGCGTGGTCTGCTGATCTGGACGTAAGGCCGGAGTCTCATCCGTAGATACTGTCGATGGCGCGTGCTGATGACTGGGACGTGAGAATCAGGTATCTGATTTGTCTTGAGTGGGACCCAAAGTAGCTGGTAAGTTTGATAGGTCTGGCATTGAGTCTCAGATTAACAAGTAGGGCACTGTCATTGACGTGTGCTAGCTTGAGACGATTAATGCTGACTACCTCGACGCGGCCATGTCGAGCAACCATGAAGGTCTTTTCATGACGATAAATCCCGAGGAAAGGTCCCTCGTAAGGATGTTGCAAAGGTTTGCGTACTGAATCGACTCGTATGGAAATAGAAGTGATAGAAGTGATGGGAATAACTTCGGACCATCTTGTGAAACGATCGATGCACGTGAGTATGTGATCATACCCATGCGATGGAGGCAATTGTCCTACAATTTCAAAATGAACATGATCGAAGCGAGCATCAGGCAAATCGTATGAGCCGATAGGGGCGGCTACGTGCCTGTGCACTTTTGATCGTTGACATTTTAAGCATTGCTTTGCTCACATACGGACTTCTTCATTCATGGAAGGTCAGACGTATCGTGCAGCGACGAGACGTAAAGTGGCTTCGATACCTGGATGAGACAAACCATGATTTGCATCGAGGACGAGACGACGATGAGCAGAAAGTATGATGCGTCGGGGTAAACCGGTAAAGCTGTCACACGAGAAAGTATCTGAGGTAGTAGCTAGTGGTACTTCCTGGCCCTGAAGGGATGTCGATTGTTGTGCTTCTGTACAAGAGGTATCATTTGCTTGGGCGGCGGCCATAGCAGGAAGATCGAGCACTGGTAAAGTAACTGCATTCACCTGAATACGTGAGAGAGCATCGGAAACATAGTTCCACTCACCTTTAATATGACGAAGGTCTGTCGTGAAATGAGATATATAATCCAAATGTCTGGACCCTCGTGGTGAGTAGCGGTCAGACTTAGTATGCAAAGCATACGTTAGAGGATAATGGTCAGTGAATAGAATGAAATAGCAACCTTCTACTGAATGCCGGAAATGTTTGATGGCACAGTAGGCTGCTAGCATTTCGCGACCAAAAGCGCTATAGCCGATTCGGGACAACATATCTATGGGTACTTTAATTTGTTTGAGTTTCGGTTAATGATAGGTAATTTGTAATATGATTGTTATTTCAGTCACGTCACTAACCTCAATATCGAGATTAACCAAGTAATGTTTCGTTCTTCGGCCGATTCGCAGTTCCTGATGTGAGGTTTGGAAACATCTTACCGCAATTCCGGCGAAGTATACAGTTACCGATTCGGCTTGTGCTACTGTAATCAATACGTTGGATATATCGGTGATCAACAAGAAACGGAAAACTCAAGACAATTCTGCATAGGCGTATAGGCAACAAAATAGTGATAGGAAAGCGTATTGGTTGCAAAATAAGGGACAAACTGAATGGTTCTGAAGCAATTATACCGGTGTTACGTCCAGTTTTTTGCTCGTTGATCTTACGAAGCACGGTTGTCGACTATTTGTAATTCACGGTCCCAAATTTCTAAACCAAGAACGAAACTCCAAAGTAGATACCAAAGTTTATTCCAAATCACAAATTCGACCAAAATACTTTATTACAAATAGACGACCAATGTCGTTCTAACAACAATAATTATAATAATTACAGTTACCTTCTAATTTATTAGCTCTTGGAGCAAAAAACTGCAAACGAACAACAAAGAGAAACGGGAGTCCAAAATGTCCGCAAATAATAATTCAAACAAGTTCACAAGTTAAGTAAAACAAATGTACCCAAAAACAGTGAAATTAATGATATTTATACATGAAGGTTTTGATCAGCAAAATGTCTTCGTTTCTCCCGTAACAACCGGTATAGCAATTCGTAAGATATATTACTTCAGGGGAGAACAAATGTTACTCCACGAACTCAGAGAATCAAGTAAGAAATAGATTCCAGAGGAAGAAGTATATCTGATACTGGCCTCGTGATATAGAAATGATATCGAGGAAAGAGGGCTAACGTCCACTCAGGAGACGAACGAAGAGGATAATGGGAATAACTCACTTGGCGCGCGAGAGATAGTCTTTAGTACAGATAAACAGGAGGTGTACAATATAATAAATATTGTCAGAATTAAGTACAATAGTAAATGTTTTTATTTCAGCAGTTGTGTTTTCTTTGTAAAAGTAAACCGCTACACCGGTTAGGCTGAAGGTTTTGATGAGGAACATGGCCGTGTTCAGCGGCACTCTATTAAGCAACAAGTACTCTCAAAGTTAGGGACAAGCTTTCCAGGAAGAGGTTGTTTGAAGAATGTATTTCCGTACTGCAAACTAGATAGAAGACTCAGCCCGAGAAAACTGAAAGAGAAAAGGAATACTTAGTGTTGTTTTATAATTTCTCCGACAGGTCAGTCAAAAAAATACTTAGAAAGGATAGACGAGTAAAACAGATATAAGAGAATGGGAAATCGCATGTTAGTAATTATGATTAAAAAGCTCTGACATCATGAGGTAATCAATGATAGATGATTTCTCAGATTGTTAGATGTACTGAGGTAATGAGAAACTCTCCACAATATTCTTAAGGTTGGTGTCGAATCACAGCCCTCATGAGATTATAAGTCCTAGATGGATAGATTGCATCCCACAGTATCTCGAATTAGAAAATGTCAGTCAGTCTGTGTGACGAGATCAATTATATTTGGTGGCCGTATTATTCGCCTGATATTGAATAAAGATCATGGGTATCGGAAGAATACCGAAATCGTGCCAGAGAAAATGGGCGAAAGACGCAGAGCAGCAAAAGCTAGATGACGACCGCGCAGAAGTAAAGTGTGGTACGAAAGTACGAATGAACAAAATGTTCGGTAAACTGTCTACTGGTACAACTGATTATAATACTGTATGTTTCTAATCGCATTTTCTTCTACAATAGTACCACAGTTTTAATTTTCTCACAAAATGACGAATTTGGTGTGAAGGAGTGAAAGTTGTTTTTATGCTAGATGTCCTAGAAGTCCTCCCACTATCTGACACTATCATGTCAACTTTTGCTACCCTATCAAATGGTTTTTGTATCTCGACTTGTCACACTTCTTTCAATAATGACAAACTTACCTCTGCAAAATTGTCTTGTTCAGAATACGTAGTGGTAAATGCTTGGATCAGTTTGTTAAAAACCATATTTAGATGCCCCTAAAACGCAGACCAAACACTTCAGTGATGTCGACTGCCAAAAAATTTTTGAGTGACCTTACACATTACTTTTGTATCTCGGGTTACATAGAGGCCGCTTGTCGTAAATCCTCTTTAATTAGTTACGTATTGTTTTCCTTGCCTTAATTCATTCGTGAACGAATAGAGTAATTTTTACATCAATATTATTTTTCTGGTCAGTGATCAGTGGAATGTTGGTTCCATATCTGGAGACAATGAGCTAGGAGTTGACTAGGCTTCTCAGGAAATGACTCGAAGGTCAGTTTTTGCCAGTATTCTAAATGACGAGATTATAGCTTTCGAGCCACCTTTGAAAAACTCAAAAGTGACCTTAAAAAACCAGCCTAATTTATGAGTTTTAAAGTGAGTTTTGGCGTAAGAAACCAGAATTGAAACTTGGGGTTAGAAATTAGTGTTTTCACTAAGAAGCGAAAAATGAAAGGATAGTTGTGTTAAATATGTTTTACTCGTTTTTAGATTATAAACTTTTCAGACACTAACCAATTATCTCTGCGTATTACCGAAATAGAATCAACATTTTGATATCGACATTTTGACATCGAATTGCGCCACTTTAGCACTGTGACACAATGTACAGAAGAGAGCAGGATGCTTGCTTCACAGAATACATGCAAATGTATTGGCCAATACTCCATTCTCTGGTGTTTCTGATCCTTAGATATTGTTCAAAGCTACCGAATAAGATCAACGTGAGTACTTTTTATCCAACTACTTAGGCCTTAAATAATTAGGCAAGATAAGAACTCGAAATACGATCTTTAAACCATGTACAACCCTAACTCAAAGCAAATAAAGCTTCTGAATGTGCATGTAGATCAATTTAATGAAATTTATCACAGTCGTCTTTCGAGCGGGTGTCATGGCAAGCTTCCAATGACGGTCATTCAGAAATGGATTCAATGTACACACTAAGATTTTCAACGCCTTTTTTGACTAAATTATCGGAAAACTTCATACTCGAGTAGGCTAATCTGTGATCGAAATGACAGCCTTCAAAATACTCTGTAGGTCGCGTAGTTAAGAAGGCGGCCGATTTGGAATGAACGTGACATTCAGGCAGTAATTTGTTGAAGTCCAAACACCTCGTAAGTTGTAATGCTTAGATGGTCATGATACACTCTTATTTTCAATTTTTCGGCTTTACATTGGTGGCTAATTTTTTCATTGGTTTCTTAGGCAGTTAATATTAATCTTTGTATCATCAGTCAAACTGTTATTAGTTTTAAGATTTTAAAACTAGCTGGATTCTGAATTCCGTATTGATCGAACCTAAACTACACTTTGATCACTAAGTGAACATTGTAGATATATTGTACCCTTGGTTCTGGAATTAAGATACGTTGAAGGTTTGAACTGAAATTTACCTATTAATAGCTCAGGACTAAACCCGTTTTGACCTTTGATGATCATTGTCTGTGTCTAATCTCTCCTGTGAATCCATTGAAAATACGGACACCATTTAGCGTATCATGTTACATCTGTCAACAATTCGATGAGAAGACTTTTATGACGTTTGTTCTTGGCTTTTAAGTCAGTCAATCAACAACATAGAAATTCGTACGTACGTACGTCAGTTCAAGTTGTCATGCCACATTAGCTCACACACGCAATTGTCACTTCAAATCCTATAGTAGTAGAAATAGTAGCAGTAATCGGGGAGATTAGGGTTCGACGATATTAGTCAAGAAGTAGAACCTAGTGAAATAAACTTAAAAATATAAAGGTATTGAGGAATTCAGAAGGTTAGGATTTGACGGAACACAAAGAATGAATTCACCTGCGCCATTGCAAACGTTTTTGAGCCATATCATTCAGAGTTTTTAACCATCTGTTACTATCATCTCGTGGCTTCCAATCAGGTAGTCGACACTAACCACTGGCGGCCCCTAACTTTCAGCCTACCCCTACACCACAAAAGATTGCTCGACGAGGCATTCGGTGGTTAGGCACACGTAACACGTCCAAACCACCTCAACTGATGATGCTTCATCTATTGAATTGCCATCTTTGCCTAGTACCCGTACAGTATTGCTTACTCGGTTGTCCCAGGACATACGAGCAATGCTTCGAAGACACCTATGATCGAAAACCAGCAACCTACAAATATCTTCTACTCTGACTGGCCATGTTTCACAACCATAAAGTATAACGAGGCGAACTGATGCGCGGTACACTCGTCTTTTCGTTAGCAAACGGACATGTCGCCTACGCTTTAAGTGACACAAGTTGGCGATAGCCAATAAAGCCTTCTGCGTCGGAGCTGAGATTTCGTCAGTCACCAGGCCATCAGCACTGATGAGACTCCCAAGATAAGTGAAGCGGTTGACACGCTCAACTGCTTCACCCCCTGTCACTAGTTCAGGTGCAGATACAAGCCAAACTTAAAGCAGCGTTTTGCATTTGGACGGGGAGAATCGCATCTCCAAATTGCTTGCATTGTTGCTTATGATAGTCAGAAGTCTACATTTTATCAGCGTCTTCGCCAAGTAGAACTATGTCATCGCTTGGCTCTTAAACGTGATTTCAATATCCCCTGCGTTCTAACATAGTAAAAAGAATAAAACAATTTCTAGTCACGAGGATGAAATAAATATTTCCTGTAGTTCTGCATATTGAATGAGATAGTTTGAAATCATGTTCTTAGCTGTTTGTCGCACTCCCTCCTGCTGGAAACGTAAATGTTTACGTAAGCAAACAGAACGGACTTTTAGTCACTTCCAAAGGACCCAACTAAGTTTCTAGTAGACAGAAATCAACCTTTATCTCCATAAACGAGCGTAGTTTTCGTGACTCATCACATCAAAACCTGTGTTTTCTCAAATCCTAATCTTCTAACTTCCTCATGACCGTTTTAACTAACTGGCTAGAAAATATGAAGTTGAAAAAAATACTACAGTTCAATTAGCACACCAGTTTATACTTAGCGTTACACGACTGCTACCAAATCACTTGTAGAATGTTATATAAGCAAATATCAGTAATCAGAATTATGAGCCAGCGGTGCATGCAATAGTATCACTTATAACAGTGTAATACTTATGAAACTTATGCACTTTGATCCTTCATAGTCTATAGTTCACTCTTTTGTTTACATAGCTTAACCCTGGCTGCACATCATTTATTACATTGCACCTGAACTAGTGATGGGCAGTGAAGTAGTTAAGCTTGTCTGGTGAGAGCTTATCGCGAACTGTCATCGGAATTCTCTACCTCAAGTGGTGTCCGCCAGGGATGTCCACTTTCCCCATTCTCGCATTTTATCATAGACATGCTCCTAGATATATCCCTATCCTCCTATCTAATACGTTGCACAACTCTACTTAAAAACTGCCTCATTCTGTAGTTAGGAATTTTAGATGATATGGCTTAGAATTAATTGTAGTGATTCAGATATATTCATTATGTACGTTCTCCTAGTTCTTATGTCTCAATTTCGCTTAGTATTTCTTACGTTTATATGTTCGTAAAGATTGCTCAACTGTAATTTTGTTTCCACCCCGAACTTGCGTTTCCTCGTAATCCAAGGAAAACAGAAAATCAGCTTCCTTTTGTGTTTGATTTTGTTTTGTTTTTCGCAACCATTAATATTGTCATTTTGATTTCAATCTTTATCTAATTAATTCTTTCGTGGTGTAATTACGTAAAATGCATATTTTACCTAGTCCACATATGTACCAAGTCCTTAATTTTTAACTGGCTTCATTTAAAACGTTGTTTATGATGTCAAAACCTGGTAGCCCCCCCAAATTCCCTGGTGCAGTCGAGAGTGTTGGGTCCAACCCCCCTCGAAATCCTCCCATATATGGCTATGCGTGTATAACCACTGCTGAGGAAGTTTTATTCACTGCCTTACCGTGGCACAAGTGTTGGTTAAAAAACTTAAACGACAAAAAGCGGGTGTCTGGCGCTTTAACCTGGTTGGTGGGTACGGGCAACCTAGCTAAATGATTTGGGAAACCCTCACTCTAAACCAGTGGTGCATGTCGGCCCTCGGACCTTTAGTGGACTAATGGTGTGCGAACCCATTATTTTTCACCTTTTACCATGGGGCCGTATCTCTTTATGTTGTTCCACTGCCTTGTGGATTAGAATTCTAGGCCAAAGGCTCGGCAACTGGTTTCTGTTCGGACACCCGGACATTATTCTATCCCACCTACAAGCTCAACAGTTCGTATAGAGCATATATATTTAGGTATCCCTTTGTACCGATGTTCATGTGCTTCAGTAAATAATAAAATAAGTAACCTATTAGCTCCAGTTCGTAGTTATTTAAACTTCTATTATTCTTAGAATTTGTTTGCTAACAACTCTTTACTTTTTTCATTTCTGTCTAGTGTCTTTGCTGATCACTAAATTGGTTCTGGTATCAAAACATATAGGTGCCCTCATCGAAAGAGTTTCAACTTCTTTTTCTTCTAACATGTGGTTTAGAGATGTATACGATATTGCATTAGGTTTTGGGAACTTCGTCCCTCAATATTTATTCATAATCTTGTCAACATTGCTTGTTTTAACACCTTTCTCCCCTCTTGATGCTGTCCAAGAATTCACCGTTTATCGCGCCCAACAGTACGATTTTCAAGGTGTTCGTATTGGTATGTTTCTTTATCACATGTGACTAATGTGGCTTACTAGGTAGTCGATTATCATCTGTAAATTGTGAAGCCCAAACACAAAGCAATAAACTTGTTGGTCGAAACTGTCTTCTTCTACGATTAGCAGATGTAACAGTCGATATCATCAAAGATGCTGTTTACCACAAAGTTGCTGGGATTGTAATTATTCTACCATCCCAATCGTGGTCACAAGCATTAATAAATGTAACATTACTTATTCAACATTTTCTCAGCATTTTATCCATATAGAAAAAGAGCTGCTAACGGATGAATTTCAAATCCCTATCTACTTTGCCTTTAATAATTCTGCACTACAAGAAGTGTTTGGACAGGTTAGTCAACTCACCAAGTCCAATACACAGAGTTCAGGATTATCTGGTTAGTAGTTCTGTTAACTAACATTGTTTTATTTTCAGCCTTAACTCAAGCGATTTCTTCAACTGGTTATCGACTGTTAGGTGGATCATTAATGCCAAAACCTGTAACTGATAATTATGTATTAAACATAGAGGTGATAACACTTTTTTTGTCATACTAAATCTTTAGGGTCGTCTTGGAAGAGAAAATGCAAAGTCCACTATTATTATATGTGCACATTATGATGCAATTTCAGCAATTCCTGTAAGTTTGACATTCCAATTTTCATGTGTTAAATAAGATGTGAAGTCATCTTATTTTTGGAATATTTAGTAGTATTTTTCTGAGTTGTCCCACTGTACATTAAGCATATTGCAAAAATTCTTTGATTTAAAAGTAGATTTCTATTCACTATATACTCGCTCCTTGTTAAATTGTAGTGTTGATGTTTGGTAAATACCAGACATTTACATTATCTATAACATTACTGTATCAACTGAACTATTTCCTGGGTCAAGACGTACTTAGATAAAACTGGTTTTCGATCATAGGTGTCTTCGAAGCATTGCTCGTATATCCTGGGACACCCGAGTGAGCAACGCTGTTATTAGGAATCGGGTGCTAGGTAAGAATGGCAGATCAATAGATGAAGTAATGAAACTTCATCAGTTGAGGTGGTTGGGACATGTGTTGCGTATGCCTAACCAGCGACTGCCTCGTCGAGCTTTGTTTTGTAGTGTAGGAATAGGTTGGAAGAAAGCTAGGGGCGGCCGAACCAAAACATGGCAGCAATCCTTGAAGTCATTGACGAGTGGACTGAGCCATGTCGGTAATTGTCGACTACCTGGTTGGGGTCCGCGAGATGATAATAATCGATGGTTAGAGACCTTGAATGACATAGCTCAGAATCGTTCGCAATGGCGCCAGTGCATTTATTCTTTGTGTTCTCTCTAATCCTAATCTTCTAGGTTCTTCAACAACTCTAGTTTTGACTTTCTAAACTTTTCTCACTGAATCATATTTCTTGAATAATATCTTCTAATCCTAACCTCCTAATACCTTTACTACCTCTTCTACTATTGGATTTGAATTGACAATTACATCTCTGTGCTGATGTGGTATGGCAACATGAACTGATGTACTTACGTACGAAGTTCTACGTTGCATCTTACTGACTGACTGAGATAAAACTGCATAAACAAACAACCACAATTCAAAAATCCTAGTACATACTAGTTAGTTTATTTCTCTCATACCTCGGCCGGTTCAATAGTCCAGAGGTGAGGCGTTCGCGCTCAGCACCTAAGGTCCTGGGTTCGAATCCTGCTCCTAGCAGGAACTGTCTTGGTTGCACACTGTTGGCGAATCCCATACCAGGACGAAACGACCGTCCAGTGCTTGTAGGTTTCTAATGGTAGTCTAACAATAACTCATTTATTGATTTCAATGTGTAAAAACAACGAACTCCATAATGCTATATTGCATTTCCATCGTCTCAATATTATCGTGTGTTACAGAGTTTGGCTTATGGAGCTGATGCGAATGGTAGTGGTGTGGTTATCTTACTAGAATTGGCCCGTCTATTATCACGTCTGTACGCAAACGAAGCCAATAAATCACCGTAAGTGTTGAATTGTTCATAATTCCTAGTAATTTACTGATATGATCGTTGAGAATATAAACAGATATTTTATTTATGTGACTTCCATTTGTAAGTTAAAGAAATTTTATCTTCATAACGCTTTCATTTGTTTAATTTATAATCGACAACAGCACTGCTTACTCCTTTGTCCCAAGATATACGAGCAATGCTTCAAAGGCACCTATGATCGAAAACCAGTAACCTACGAATATCTTATACTCATTTACATGGCCGCCTAGCTGTCTTTCTATTTGCTTCTGAAATATATTCATGGCCCTGCTATCATTCCTTGCGGTGTCCTTCCTACGTCCAGTAAGCCTCAAACAAATACGCGCTCTCACTAGGGCATGATCTGAATGCAAACATGTGCCCCAGAATGAGCGACAGTCCTCTATCGAACCTCCCCATCGGTGGCTGATGGCAATGTGATCTAGTTGGGTCCGTCCATCGTTGTGACGACTTTGGGGGTCGCCAGGTCAAAAGATGTTTTTCCTTATGCCTAAAGTTAGTGTTTGCTAGAAATAGACGGTTATCCGAGCATATCTGCAGCAGACGGTCGCCATTATCTGTTCTCTGAGCCGCGACACCATAAAATCCACCCAGGTGTCTTTCCTGCTAACTTAGTCTACCTACTTGAGCATTAAAGTCTCGAGCCATTATTACTATATCAGAGCGCTTAACATTTTGGAGAAGTTTAGAGAGGTTTCTACAAAACTTTTCTTTCACGTCGTCTGGACTGCAGTTAGTCGGAGCGTAAGCAGATACGACGAAGAAGCAACAGCGATAGTCCCTATCCGTCCGAGTCCTTACTGTCCCGTTTAGTCGGACAGCGCACAAGCGACTATCTAATGGAATCCTGTCTAGGAGAGCTGGTTCTGCCCTAGGACTTAATGCTATGCCTACGCCAGCAAAACCCCTGGAAGCAGCATCAGGGCTCCTGGATACACGAAGAGTAAATCCGGCTGCTTCTCTATCTGGATAAGGAAAAATCAAATTAATGACTTTACTAGGATCCTGGATGCGCGTTTTCGAGACTAAGCATACATCGATTGAGTGAGATTCTAAAGTCCTAGCTAATGTAGCCTGTTGCCCTATTTGGCACAATGATCGGATATTAAATGCTCCAACATGTAGTCTAGAACGGGATTTCAGGAGACCAGGAATAATGTTTCATGAACTTGAATCGTTAGTACATAAAAGTATACTGCAAAAAATTGTTTTTCTCATTGACTTACATAATCTAAATATTCTAAAATGAGTATGTCAATAACTTCGTTTTCTCAGGCTTTGAAAACCACATTCACCATTCAGACAATTTGCAGCTGTACAACCAGACAACAATAATGATCGTCAAGTTATTCTTATTTTAGAGTGAAAGCCTTCACCTCCTGGTCATTTCCTGCTTAAATGTTGATATATTCCATTATAATTCTGTATAATGTCATCTCAAATGTTTCAAAACGTTAGCCTGTATTCAATGGAATCACTGAATGAGTGTCTAAACCAAAGTAGGTGAAGTACGGTCTATGCCTTCCACCTGGTGTTTGAATGTGCATACTGAATTAACTGAGATATGTCTTATACACAAAATCAGTCCTATTAGATTGATATCCATCAAGAGGTGAATACCTCCTATTCTTAGTTTTAGCATAAAAACTGTTTCCTGTTGGTTGATAATCACAATTGGTATGAATAATGATCAAACTCGATGGAGTAAATTTATTCGTTCTTAAAACTACGAGTTTTTGTCTAGTAGAAAAACACGACTGACGCCTAGATCTAAGGGAATATTGTTGTAACGGTTGCTTATATAATTCCCAGCTAAATCCTATTGCTTAGTATTCTCTGACCACAATACACTGAACAAGCTCCCAAGAATCAAAAACACGGTTGAATAGGGGAAGATTATATTCCAAATAGAAAAGGTTAAATGGAAATAAGAAGCCACAGGTGATGGCGAAGGCAAAAATAGATACAGCGTTAGTTTATTTATCGCATTTACATGAGAAGCTTCTGGATAGAAATTCACGTGATCGACTGGATTAGATAGATTTAACCAATCAGCACGCAGCTAACAGTACCAGAATCTTCTACCCTGTTCCCCAAGATTCGACCGGGCGTTGATTGGATAGGAAATTAGCCAATCAGCGCGCAGCGACGTAGTCATGCTTTAATTCATCTATGTTCCCCTAACAAATATAAAAAAAGGAATTCATCCAGCACGATTGCAATCGATTCTGGCCTAGTATCGATTTTAGTTCTGTTTACATTGCATTGTTTAAAAACTGACTGACTTGTTAATTCACTATATACCGTTGTTATAATGCAACATCATTTGTGAATCTCATATTTTAAACTAGCACTATGTAATAGAACGATGATTGGTTAATTGCAGTTTGGTAGAAAATAAGTCAGAAAATCTTAATGTTTACACAGCAGCGATATACAAAGTATTCTCAAGCTGTTCGAAATTTTAATTTTGTTCATTGTTTAATAGGCAAACTAATTAACCAAAGTTAATTGTCTTCATAGAATGTACAGATCAATTGATGAGGTAGTGAAACTACATCAGTTGAGGTGGTTGGGACATGTGTTACGAATGTCCAACCACCGACTGCCTCGACGAGCTATGTTTTGTGGTGTATGAATAAGTTGGAAGAAAGCTAGAGGCGGCCAAACCAAAACATGGTAGAAATCCATGAAGTCACTGACAAGTGGACTGAGTCATGTTGGTAAATGTAGACTACCTGGTTGGGGTCCGCGGGATTATAGTAATCGATGGTTAGAGACCTTGAATGACATGGCTCATAATCGTTTGCAATGGCGTAGGTCCATTCATTCATTGTGTTCTCTCAAATTCTAGTCTTCAGAATTCCTCATCATCTCTATCTTTCTTTTTATAAAGTTATCTCACTGAATTATACTTTTCGAATCATATCTTCGCTCCCTAATCTTTTGCATTACTGCTAATACTTCCACTATCTCTACCACTATTGGATTTGAACATTTGCGTCTCTGTACTGATGTGGTATGGCAACCGGAACTGATGTACTTACGTACAAACTTGTACATTGTAACTGACTGACTGACTGACTCATATAATGTATAAAAACATGTCATCAAATTCACTCAATAAGTATGAATATCATTCTTGTTTTTTTAATCTTTATATTACAAACATGTTACTTTATATCAACCTTTGTGTTATCCATAGAAAAAAATACTGATTCATGTTCACAAAGATCTCTCTCTAATAAAACTTATTCTTAGCTTGATTTGTAATCCGTTTTTCAAACAATCATTAAAAACTATTTTTAAAAATAGATCCAAAGTATTTTGCAATAGAATAATTAATTTAACATGTTTAAATGTAGTGGTTTTTTTTAAAAGTTTATTGAGTTTCTTTTTTTTGTTAAAAGACTTATCCAGTTTTTCAATCTTAATTATTGCATGAACTTGACTTGAGTGTCAGTATTTTTTTCACATACTAAGGTTGTCTTTGTAAATTTATTTCTCATTAGTAGTTTGATTATTGCCTACAAAATTACTCATTAATAAATTACCTGAGATACCCTACAGAAGAACCATCGTAGTCACCTATATCAATATGAAGAGTTCATGTTGACATTCACTAAACTGTATTGTCTTGAAATCCTTGATTGATCATATCACGTAGTGAAGTCCCCAATCAGAATTAGAATTATAATTTTTCCTACTCTACTTTTCTTTATCCCTTCTTGGCTTAAGTCTGAATAGAAGTCAGCAATCATCGTCCATCATATTATATTTTAAGTATACATGGGTGTCATATTCACTGGATGGAATAAAGAGATTGAATTCACCGGAATGGTGTACTCAAGGTCTGTTTAAGTTTTGGTTACACGGAATCAAATAAAAACTCACATTGAAGGTGATAAGACAGCAACGACGACAACAGTCAATCGTAAAACAGTCCCCACGTAAAATGAGACGAGTTCTCAATAGCTGTCTATGTAAAATATGTTTCAACCAATAAGAACTTAGCCAGTTTGTCGATAATTAATTTATCCAATGAAATACAAGAAAAATCAGTGAACCATGATTACTAATAAGTATTTATAGTCATAAATGTGAATTACACAATATGTTTACATACAAATATCCTATCATAAAATCAAAGATTACAATTAACCCCCGTAAACAAACCAGAGCTAGCTGTGAATAGGTGAAGGTGTAAATAAATTAGTTGATAGTATGATAGGGGTGATAATTGGCGTAATGATAGTAAATGCGTTAAATGGAAAACAGAATTTATCAACGAAATGATCCAGTCACAATGAAGATATGTATAACAATAATAATCCATACATATATTAGTCCTGGAATAATATCTTCTAACCCTAATCTCTCCGACTACTGTTGATACCTTTACTACCATGGGATTTGAATTGACAATTACATCTCAGTGCTTATGTGGTATGGCAACATGAACTTCGTACGTACGAAGTTCTACGTTGCTATTGATTGAGTGACTTAAACCTATTACCCCCGATGGAACATAGGCCGCTGACCAGCATTTTCCAACGTCTTCTGTCCTGAACCTTCTTTTCTAGTTCTATCCAACTACTGTTCATTCTTTTCATGTCTGTTTCCAATTCTCTGGTGTTTCTCATTTCCGTTGACCTTGAGGATTCCAAGTGAGGGCTTGTTTTGTGATGCAGTTGGATGCTTCTTCCTAATTTCTTCGTCTACTGGAATCTGGTTTGTTTTATCCCACAGTAGGTTGTTGCTAATTGTGTCTGATACATCACAAACTACTGATAAAATGATTTCTTTGGAAGTTTTACTATCAATAAGATAATTTAAGCCTAAGTTTGATTGAGATTCACATTTGTAAAATTTGTATTTAGAAAAGATACAATTTAAAATTCTCATTTAATTTGTAAATAACGAAAGAGACTTATTGTATGACTGAAGGAAAATACAGTTCAGTAGAAAATATTTTTTTCAGACGATTTCATTTACTTAAGCTCCGATCGTATTTCAAATTAATTTTAGCTATCAAATTAACAATTATCTTCACCTTAACCTTTTTCACTAGCTAGTTATTACGTAACTCTCATTATTCAACACAACTCAACTTTCCTATAAACTGCCACTACCATTCTAGCAAAAAACAGAGAAATAACTTCAAGTACGATTGTACTGTTTAAGTAAATAAAGTCGTCAAAATAAAAATTTTATTCGCTCAATTGTCTCTTAATTATCGTTTTCACTGTGTTTTGATTTTTAAAAAGGTTAAAACGTCTTAAGCTCAATACTAGGGTGTTTCTTTTGCATGTATTATACAATGAGAGGTGAAATTCAGTTTCATTTAAACCACCATTGAAAACATGGAAGCATTGAACGGTCGTTTTGCTTCACCGTAGTACTCTCCCTAGCAATGCTCATGCCCAAACCCGCCCGTGTGAATCGAACCTAAAGTCTCCAGTCGTACAAACAAACCTTCAAACGCCTAAACCACTGAGTTGTTAAAAGTTCGAAAGCAATCTTCTTGATTCAGTTTGGTTCATCTCTATACCTAGTTTTAACGAAATTTTTTTAAATCAGAAAACGTTATGGCCATGTAATTGTTATGTTTGTCACTAGGTATGCTTGAAGCTATTACGAGTTCACCTTAGTCGATAAACGCGAACGAGACAATTACCAGCGTACAGATATGCTACCTTGAATCCCAAACTGTAGACAGAAGTCTTTTTAAGCGTAGAAAGTATATTTTACAAACACCCGGCAATCACAATACAATCAAGCACACAACTTTCGTTTATTTATACATCATAGAAACGTACTTGGGACAGTTACAAAAATAGCACACTAAAATACACAGCAACTAATCAATCACAGCCATGGATTTTCCTGGTGGGAATTTAAATCCCAAAGTCAACTGATCAGCCCATGCTCGGAAATGTGAAATCCAAAATAAGGCATTTAACCAGCGAGTTTTGGGGATCTAACATCCTCAACAGTAATAAACTCATGTATATTTTATACTATTGATGGGAAATTTATTTATTCATCATCAATATAAATATTTCATTAATATAATGTAGTACTTGAAATTTGATCTATTGTATTTTACATTTTTTTTTCCGTTCAGATATCAAATTGTATTTCTTCTAACTGGTGGTGGAAAATTCAATTTTGTTGGTTCCAAACGATGGCTTGATCAAAGTATTGAAGATTCTGTTGGTTTAGGTATGTTGTTTTTTATTGTTGGTAATATGAAACAACGTTAATACACACTTGTTTACTGAGTGAGGTGGTTGTACTACTACTCCTGCTACTCATTTAAGAAAGATTTAGTCGTAGAAACTTCTCCATCATGTACATATCCGTATGCTTGAGTTTGACTTGTACTCTAAATATGATCGTTAGGAATAATACCTGAGTTAGGCTGAATGAGATCGAAACCTTTATGATCCAGGGGTTGTTGAAATTTTAACCATTCATCCATACTGATAAGTTTTCTATATGACTGTTATTGTAAGTAAATACTATTCAGTTAGTTATACGACTGTTGGAAGAAAATCATAATGTGTCATGTTTTGTAACAGTATTTTCAACCCACTCACAAATTCAATAATTTGTGTGGTGCATGAATATTTAGGTGTTGCTTTGTGTACCAATGTTTATGTTTAAATAAATAAATTGAAATAACTCCGCCAGTAGAACCTTAGGGGCTACTGCCGGTCCCAAGCCCGGATAAAGGAGGAGGATTGGACATGGGGTTGGCGACCCCATTCCGTTGAAATCTCACTTGCCAAAAAAAACGCTAACCAGAAAAAATAATCCAAACCATTTTAACTCTGCCCTGGGAGTTGGAAGAAGAATTATGACGTCTCGTGATGAAAGCCGAGTTCCCTCGGAAGTCACGGGGCTGATGCCTCTTCTGACAACCAGTGCAACCATTTTTTTAGGTACATGGAACGTTCGTACATTGTGGGAGACTGGAAGACTATTTCAAGTTGCGGCAGAAATGAAAAGATACAACCTCGAGGTGCTTGGAATCAGTGAAACGCATTGGACACAAGTAGGACAACTGAGACTTGCTTCAGGGGAACTGCTGTTATACTCTGGTCATAAAGAGGAAAACGCTTCACATACACAAGGAGTTGCACTGATGCTGTCCAAACATGCACAAAAGGCACTGATAGGATGGGAATCTCATGGGCCGAGGATCATTAAAGCATCCTTCAAAACAAAGAAAGAGGACATTACAATGAACGTCATCCAATGTTATGCACCTACCAATGACTACAATGACGACGTTAAAGATCAATTCTACGAAAGGCTGCAGTCAGTCGTCGAGAAATGTTCACCAAAGGATTGGACGATTCTTATGGGAGACCTGAATGCCAAGGTTGGAATGGACAACACTGGATATGAAGACATCATGGGACGACATGGACTGGGAGAAAGGAACGAAAACGGTGAGAGATTTGCAAACCTATGTGCCTTCAACAAACTGGTCATCGGTGGCACAATATTCCCGCACAAACGCATTCACAAAGCCACATGGATTTCACCGGACCACACTACTCAAAACCAAATTGACCATATCTGTATCAACAAAAAGTTCAGAAGGACCATGGAGGATGTGAGAACCAAGAGAGGAGCTGATATAGCTTCAGATCACCACTTGCTGATCGCCAAAATGAGATTAAAGCTAAAGAAGCACTGGACAACGGGGCAGACAACATCACAGAAGTTTAATACAGCCTTTCTTCGGGATACCGTAAAACTCAACGAATTCAGGATAGCCCTCACCAATAGGTTCCAGGCCTTTCAGGATCTACTCAATGGAGAGGAAGCAACATTGGAGAACAATTGGAAAGGGATTAAGGAGGCAATCACTTCAACATGTCAGGAGGTCCTTGGTCGCAAGAAGCACCATCACAAGGAATGGATCTCTGTTGGTGCTCTTGAAAAAATTGAAGAAAGGAGGAACAAGAAGGCAGCAGTGAATGTCAGCCGAACAAGAGCAGAGAAAGTTAAGGCGCAAGCCGAGTATACAGAAGCAAACAGGGAAGTGAAGAAGAGCATCAAAGCTGACAAACGAAAATATGTGGAAGATCTAGCAATGACGGCGGAAAAGGCTGCAAGAGAAGGAAACATGAGACAATTGTACGAAACAACAAAGAAGCTCGCCGGGAACTATCGTAAACCAGAACGACCAGTGAAAAGCAAGGAAGGCAAAGTAATCAGCAACACTGAAGAACAGCGAAATAGGTGGGTGGAGCACTTTAAGGAACTATTGAATCGACCAGCTCCACTGAACCCACCCAATATCGAAGCATCATCCACAGACCTCCCAATTAATATTGGCGCACCTACGATTGAGGAGATCAGTATGGCCATCAGACAAATCAAAAGCGGCAAAGCAGCAGGACCAGACAACATTCCAGCAGAGGCAATGAAAGCAGATGTGGAAGCAACTGCGAAAATATTTCACATTCTCTTCAAGAAGATTTGAGATGAGGAACAAGTGCCATCAGATTGGAAAGAAGGATACCTGATCAAAATACCAAAGAAAGGCGATCTCAGCAAGTGTGAAAACTACAGAGGCATCACTCTTCTTTCAATACCAGGCAAAGTCTTCAACAGAGTATTGTTAGACAGAATGAGGAAATTCGTAGACACCTAACTTCGAGATCAACAGGCCAGATTTCGCAAGGATCGATAGTGTACCGACCGAATCGCTACATTATGGGTGATTGTGAAACAGTCAACTGAATGCAACTCACCACTCTACATCAACTTCATCGACTACGAGAAATCATTCGAAAGTTTGGACAGGAAAACACTGTGGAGGCTTCTTCGACACTACGAATTGCCTGAGAAAATAGTCAACATCATACGGAATTCTTATGATGGATTCAACTGCAAAATCGTGCACGGAGGTCAGCTGACAAACTCGTTTGAGGTGAAGACCGGTGTGAGGCAAGGTTGCTTACTCTCACCCTTTTTCTGAATCCTGGTCATCGACTGGATTATGAAGACGTCAACATCTGGAGGGAAGCACGGTATCAACTGGACAGTTAGGACGCAGCTGGACGATCTGGACTTCGCAGATGATCTGGCTCTTCTATCGCACACTCAACAACAAATGCAAGAGAAGACGACCAGTGTAGCAGCAGCCTCTGCAGCAGTAGGTCTCAACATACATAAGGGAAAAAGCAAAATTCTCCGATGCAACACAACATGCACCAACCAAATCACGCTTGATGGAGATGCTTTCGAGGACGTTAACAACTTTACATATCTTGGCAGCATCATCGACAATCAAGGTGGATCCGATGCAGATGTGAGGGCGCGGATCGGCAAAGCGAGGGCTGCATTTCTACAGTTGAAAAATATCTGGAACTCCAAACAACTTTCAAACAAAACCAAAATCAGGATTTTCAATACAAATGTCAAGACAGTTCTACTGTATGGAGCGGAAACTTGGAGAACTACCAAAGCCATCATCCACAAGATACAAGTGTTTATTCACAGTTGTCTACGCAAAATACTTCGGATTCGTTGGCCAGACACCATCAGCAACAACGAACTGTGGGAGAGAACAAGTCAGATTCCAGTGGATGAGGAAATCAGGAAGAAGCGGTGGAAGTGGATAGGACATACACTACGAAAAGCACCCAACTGCGTCACGAGAGAAGCCCTCACATGGAACCCTTAAGGCAAAAGGAAAAGAGGAAGACCAATAAAAACACATTACGCCGAGAAATAGAGAAAGATATGAGAGGAATGAACAAACATTGGACAGAACTGGAGAGGGAAGCCCAGGACAGAGTTGGTTGGAGAAAACTGGTGGGCGGCCTATGCTCCATTGGGGGTAACAGGCGTAAGTAAAGTAAGTAAGTAAATAAATTGAAATCTAATTATCCATGTTTCCTAGTGTTGATATTCACACTGAGACTGGAACTCAGTATAGTACCCCTACCCGACCATAGCTGCTACCTTGACGTGATGGTTGGGCTTGCCTATCGTGATGACCTGACCGAGCTATATTGGCTTGAACACTGTTCCTGTAGGTTGTGCCGTGCCAGGCAGGTCGACTGCACAACGCTTAGACTAAAAGCAGCTACTCAAGGTGTGAGGGCGTAGTCGTACTGCTAACTGTAGTGAGGTGTGACAGCAGTAAAGTGTTTCCCTCGGGCAACCAGCATCTGCAGGGATTCTGTATTCTCACATAAAAGTAAGGGGTTAGAAAAGGTTTACTCTATAAATGTCACACCTCACCTTACCTCACGGATTTCCATCTCCGACGGTAAAGCCTTTTAAAAAGAACGGAGCTAACAATTCAAAAACTTCTCATAAAAAGGCCGTGTTTGACCGGCGTCAAGTAGTTGTCCCTTGGACTCTGCAGTCACGCTCCCAGTTCGTTAAGACCATTACTAATCCACCTTCCTTTTCAGGTTTCTCACGAAACACCCTTGCACGGTGTGGGCAGCCGGGAATCGACACCCGCCCTCATACCCTTAACAGCACACGACACCAAATTAGTCTCAGTCAAATCAAAATACAGAACCCCCAGTGCTTCAAACATTGATGAGTTGTTGTTCATTAAAATTGTTGGGGATGTTAGATCCCCAGAACTCACTTGATAAATATCGTTATTTTCAATTTATTTCACATTTCCCACCAGGAAGATCCTTGGCTGTGATTGGTTACTGTGTCATTTTAGTGTGCTATTTTTGTGACTGTCCCAATGACATCTCAATGTAGTATAAATAAACGCAATTTGAGTGCTTGGATTCATTGTGTGCTGGCTGGGTGTTTGTAGAATACAACTCCTACAATTTATTAAAACTTCTTGCTGATATAATTTGGTCAAGGGTTCACAGTAGCCTACCTGGACGCTGGTTCATTGTTTTGTTTTCGTTATTCGACTAAGGTAAACTCGTCATAGTTGAAGCATACCTAGAGATGAGCGTAACAAAAATACTGACTCATAAGTATCCCATGAACTTGTTCAACACTTACATGATTCCTATTATCGTCCTTGCAGGATTCGAACCCGGGACCTTCGGTATTGTGCGTGAACGCCTAACCATTAGACCACTGGGCCGGCATCCCGCTCCTCGCAGGAGTCGTGGATGCGCACTGCTACTGATGCGTCCCATACCAGAGACGAAACGGCCGTCTTTCAGTGCTTACAGATTTCTAATGGTGGTGGTCTAACAATGATTGATTGATGATTTCAAATGTGTAAAAACACAAACCTCTAAAACTCTGTCCCAAAATATTCCTGTGATTTTCATTGTATTATTTATCCTATTTAATAATAATATGTTCAATTGTTTAATTCAAAAAAAAATAATTTTTCTTCATTCATTTTGTTAAAATATGTCCTCATGTACCTTCTAGCTCTTTTAGATTCTGTTACACAAGTGATTTGTTTAGAAGGTTTGGGTTCACCAAATTTCACTCGAAATATTTATGCGCATGTATCGAAACCACCGAAAGAAGGTTCATTTTTATATTATTTTTTGAAAGCTTTAAATGTAGCCAGTGATTTGCATCCATTTCCAAATGAGGTAAATTTACTTTTAATTTTTATATATACATAAATAATAACATTGTACCGTACATAGAATAATTCACTTTTTTTTCTTCTCCAGTTTCATTTTATTCCCCCCCCTACAGTTTGAATGCTATTGAAATTGTAAATAATTTATTCAGCTGAAACTGGTTAGGGTTACTTACTTACTTACTTACTTACTTACTTACTTACTTACTTACTTACTTACTTACTTACTTACTTACTTACTTACTTACTTACTTACTTACTTACTTACTTACTTACTTACTTACTTACTTACTTACTTACTTACTTACTTACTTACTTACTTACTTACTTACTTACTTACTTACTTACTTACTTACTTACTTACTTACTTACTTACTTACTTACTTACTTACTTACTTACTTACTTACTTACTTACTTACTTACTTACTTACTTACTTACTTTACTTACTTACTTACTTACTTACTTACTTACTTACTTACTTACTTACTTACTTACTTACTTACTTACTTACTTACTTACTTACTTACTTACTTACTTACTTACTTACTTACTTACTTACTTACTTACTTACTTACTTACTTACTTACTTACTTACTTACTTACTTACTTACTTACTTACTTACTTACTTACTTACTTACTTACTTACTTACTTACTTACTTACTTACTTACTTACTTACTTACTTACTTACTTACTTACTTACTTACTTACTTACTTACTTACTTACTTACTTACTTACTTACTTACTTACTTACTTACTTACTTACTTACTTACTTACTTACTTACTTACTTACTTACTTACTTACTTACTTACTTACTTACTTACTTACTTACTTACTTACTTACTTACTTACTTACTTACTTACTTACTTACTTACTTACTTACTTACTTACTTACTTACTTACTTACTTACTTACTTACTTACTTACTTACTTACTTACTTACTTACTTACTTACTTACTTACTTACTTACTTACTTACTTACTTACTTACTTACTTACTTACTTACTTACTTACTTACTTACTTACTTACTTACTTACTTACTTACTTACTTACTTACTTACTTACTTACTTACTTACTTACTTATGAAGCATAGGCTGTTGAATAGTGGATTATTTTTCTGGTTAGTGTTATTTTTAGCGACTTGGATTTCTACGGGATGGGGTCGCTAACTCCATACCTAACCAACCTCCTTTATCTGGGCTTGGGACCGGCAGTAACTCTAGAAGGGCTCCAGCAGCAGTTCGCTCCGTCCTACTATATGGATGCGAAACATGGCCGTTAAGAGTAGAAGATGTTCGTAGGTTACTAGTATTCGATCATAGATGTTTAAGAAGCATTGCTCGTATATCATGGGACAACCGAGTAAGCAATACTGTCGTTAGGAAACGAGTTCTAGGTAGGGATGGCAAATCAATAGATGAAGTAATGGAACTTCATCAGTTGAGGTGATTGGGACATGTGTTACGTATGGCTAACCACCGACTGCCTCGACGAGCTATGTTTTGCAGTGTAGGAGTAGGTTGGAAGAAAGCTAGGTGCTGCCAAACCGAAACGTGACAGAAATCCATGAAGTTTACTGACAAGTGAACTGAGTCATGTTGGTAGATGTAGACTACCTGGTTGGGGTGCGCGAGATGATAATAATTGATGGTTAGAGACCTTGAATGAGATGGCTCAAAATCGTTTGCAATGGCGCAAGTGCATCCATTCTTTGAGCTCTCTCAAATCCTAATCTTCTGGATTCGTCAGCACCCCTACCTTTGTCTTTCTAACCTTATCTCACTGAATTATACTTCTTGAATAATATCTTCGAACCCTAGTCTTCTTCATTACCATTAATACCTCTACTATCTTTATCACTATGGGATTTAATTTGACATTTGCGTCTCTGTGCTAATGTGGTATGGCAACATGAACTTATGTACATACGTACGAAGTTCTACTTTGCAACTGACTGACTAGAAGGGCTCCAGGTGGAGTTAAACAAATCAGGCAGTCATAAGCAATATAGGTTCTTGCACAAATGTCTATTAACCCTAACTGTCCTACATTGGGGTGAAAAAAAAGTGATTTTATCACTACCTTAGTTCGTGTGAGTGTTGTTAGAGCTACAATCACTTCGTGATTGTCAATACCATGAAGAAATGTTCCTCATTAAAACACCTAGAGTACCAGGGGTGTGGTCTTGAAGCCGGTTATGTTCATGTCTTAAGTTTGGCAACGCTAAAGCATACTAAGTTTTAGGCCGACATTTTTTAGTCCTCTAATTTCACTTTTGTTGGAAAACAGCTTCATTTACTGCTTGCTGTCTGCAGTTTTATCGTTTTCCAGCTGACATGTCTTAACATGAGTGGACTGATAAAAAAGGACCAGCAAATGGAGGTTATAATCCATCCACCTTTCTAATTGGTATTACCAACTATTCTAATCATTGTGATTATTTGTATTGACAAATCATTGATTTTTCTAGTTGTATTGGATAATTCTCAATGAATTATTATTATTACACATGATTTAGTTAGTATATTTGTCTTTTCTATCATATAAATTCAAATTCAAACTGTTAAATAGTGTTTATTACCTTTTTACTTAAATATTTTTACAAGAATGAATTGCAAGTTTATAATATACACTAGTCAGCCAAAATAGTTCAAGCTAAATAAGTACATGACTCTTATTCACTATGCTAGTTTTGTATTCATTATTATTGAACTCAAAATTGAAATCGAATTAGAATCACCATTCAAATATTAGCTGATTTTTTGATAAGTTAATTCTCGTGTAGTGAAGGAGAACACAGGTGAGGGCAACCGAATTGTATTTAACGAAAATTACAGTTACTCAGTAAAATAGGAAAACCATATCGTAAATCGTTAATTTGCAAATCTTCAATCGATTGTCTGACATTTCACTTATTCATGCGTTTCATACAAATTCCATTGTGTTCCCACTCTTCTTACTTTCTTGATCTTCCCCTATCTTCTGCTGCTAGACATTACGTTTACACTCACGTCATATGCTACTTATAAGTAGCGCGCACCACACTAGTTTTGTTTAAAAGTAGAGTAGAAAGTAGTATACTGAATAATAATTAAGTTGTAATCAATGCAACGATATGTTAAACAACTTAAGAACTCCATGTTCAGTTATTAAACCGCAACCATACTTCACTTCGTTTGAATTGGTTAGAGTAGTATTATTGGGTCCTTTTATTCATTTATTTAGACACATAAACATTCGTACAATAGGATACCTAAATATTGATGTGAGTGAGATGGGATACTGTGTCTGAGTGCCTAAATCAAAGAAGCTGTCTTCCTTAGAAGGTCACTCCCCGAGTGTTTGAGTCGAAAGCTTAATCCACAAGGCTGTCAAAAGACACAGTCTTGTCGTGGCCAATAATAGATGCAGGCACCACTGATTTCCTCAGAATCCGGGGAATGACGGTTTTCCAACTTCCCATTCCCGCAACCCAGTTACAAAGCCGGAAACTCACTTTTCGTCTCCTCAATTTTCTAAACAACACTCCTGCCATAAGAAAGCAGTGAGTAGGTCTCTCTTGACAGTAGCTGTATACGCGTGATCGTATTAGAGCATTTCGAGAGGGTGAGTGAACTCTCCTCGTCATCATCATAAAGTGTGAATCAAAGCTAATTACGCCAACTTATTCATTTAATCCGCGATACAGTTAAACTGTGGGTGTAAACACTTGATACAAAGATTTTAAAACCCAATTTTTTATGTTGTCTATATTAAAAATATTTATTTGTTTTACGTATTTATATAGCTATTAACTCACCATCATCAATCAACAGATATGAATGAATCCAACAATAGTTCCATTCAAATGATTCATAAAAAAATTAATTTAAATCAAGAAACTTTAGCATGGGAACATGAACGATTCTCCATTCATCGATTGCCTAGTTTAACTTTATCTAATTGGCCATCTGTTCATATTGCCAATGAATGGCGTCAAACTTCATTAGATGGTATTAGTACTGTTGATCGTAATGATCATGATGATGATGACGGTGATGATGAGGATATGTCAAATCAAACTGTATCTCATCGTGGCACTGTTAATCCAATGTTATTAGCTCGAAATACACGTGTTATTTTAGAAGCTTTATTACGTGTATTATATGAAATGAATTCAAATAAATCGATGATTATGAATCATTCACCAATTGTTGCATCCCATGTAAGTTTTATTATTGAATTCATTTTATTGATTTTGGTTTTTTATTTTGCTTTTACTTGTTTAAGATGTCACAGGTGCATCCACAGTCAGTCAGTCAGATGCAACGTAGAACTTTGTACGTAAGTACATCAGTTCAGGTTGCCATACCACATAAGCACAGAGATGTAATTGTCAATTCAAATCCAATAGTAGGAGAGGTAGTAAAGGTTTAAAGAGTAATCGGAGAGGTTAGGATTAGAAGATATTATTCAAGAAGTATAATTCAGTGAGAAAAGTTTAGAAAGTCAAAACTAGAGTTGTTGAAGAACCCAGAAGATTAGGATTTGCGAGAACACAGCATAAATGCAACCGCGCCATTGCGAACGGTTTTAAGCCATGTTATTCAGGGTCTCTAACCATCCACTCTTTGTGTTTTCTCTCAAATCCTAATCTTCTGAATTCTTCAACACCTCGACTTTTGTCTTCCTAAAGTTATCCCACTGAATTATACTTCTTGAATTAATATCTTGGAACTATAATCCTCTGTATTACCAGTAGTACTCCTACTATCTCTACCACTATGGAATATAAATTGACATTTGCGTCTCTGTGCTAGTGTGGTATGGCAGCATGAACTGATGTACTTACGTACGAAGTTCTACGTTGCATCTGACTGATTGACTGAAGGTGTCACAGTGGAATTTAGAATGCATATGTTTCGTTTCCTGTTTTTTAGAGTATCACCTCAAGAGTGATGATTATTATGATATAATATGATGTCTGAGAAGTGAATGGAATACGTTCTAACCACCTAAACTAACTATTTGACCGAAAAAGCCAAAGTGATAGAATCATGAACATAAATACTCATTTATATAAACATAAATTTCTCCCTTTTAGAAAGTGAATCCATATCTTGACCAATGATATGCATCGATTCTTTAGGACATTTCTGATGGTTATCGAATGACTTCGTCCGATCACTCTTGATTGACTCTGTTATAATGATATTCATGCTCTAGCATTTAAATTTAGTGCCAGAATGTTAGTAGTTTAATGGTTAAATTATAACTTTCTGCAGTCAAGCAATTTCGCTGGCGTCTCACACAACTAAGGTTTAGGTCAAATCTAAGTTAACATTAAGCCGTTCAGATTTTTTAGGGGTTAATTTTCTACCGGGAAAATCGCTTACAGACCTAGAATATGCCGATGACAGTTCTATTTGGTGAAGACGCTGACAAAATGCAGAGTCTTCTGACTACCCTAAGCAACAATGCAAGCATGTTCGGGATGCGGTTTTCCCCCTCGAAACGCAAAATGTTGCTTCAAGACTGGGTTGCATCGGCACCTGAACTAGTGATAGGGAGTGAAGCAGTCGAACGTGTAGACCGCTTCACTTATCTTGGGAGTCTCATCAGTGCTGATGGCCTGGTGACTAAGGAAATTTCAGCTCGAATACAGAAGGCTCGATTTTCTTTTGCCAATTTACGTCGTTTATGGCGTCGGCGAGATATCCATTTGCTGACTAAGGGACGAGTGTACTGCTCAGTGGTTCGCTCCGTCTTACTTACTTACTGGCTGTGAAACATGGCCAGTGAGAATAGAAGATATTCGTCGGTTATTGGTTTTCGATCATAGGTGTCTTCGAAGCATTGTTCGTATATCGTGGGACACCCGAGTGAGCAACGCTGTTATTAGGAATCGGGTGCTAGGTAAGAATGGCAGATCAATAGATGAAGTTGTGAAACTTCATCAGTTGAGGTGGTTGGGACATGTGTTACCTGTGGCTAACCACCGACTGCCTCGAAGAGCGTTGTGTTGTAGTGTATTAATAGGTTGGAAGAAAGTTAGGCGCGGCCAGACCAAAACCTGGCAGCAGTCCTTGAAGTCATTGACGAGTGGACTTAGCCATGTCGGTAATTGTCGACTACCTGGTTGGGGTCCGCGAGATGAAAGTCATCAATGGTTAGAGACCTTGAATGACATGGCTCAAAATCGTTTTCAATGGCGCAAGTGCATCCATTCATTGTGCTCTCTCAAATCCTAATCTTCTGGATTCGTCAGCACCTCTACCTTTGTCTTTCTAACCTTATCTCACTGAATTGTACTTCTTGAATAATATCTTCAAATCCTAGTCTTCTTCATTACCATTAATACCTCTACTATCTTTATCACTATGGGATTTGATTTGACATTTGCGTCTCTGCGCTCATGTTGTATGGTAACATGAACTTATGTACATATGTACAAAGTTCTACTTTGCAACTGACTGACTTTCTCTGCACATCGATATTACATTATGAAGAGAAAAGCCAGAGTCTTCGAAGCAGTAACAGAATCAGTAGCATTATAGAAAATATAAATTATGGACATAATTTGAGAAAAATTCGTGCAATGAAAAGTATAAGATAATTACAAAAATACTTAAAATTTACAAGATAAAAAACAAGGGATGACTGGATATATCTGCCTTATATTGCAATTGATTCTCTGATATGTCACTCCAGTCTTCATCCATTAATCACAATAATCTCTGGCATACATCTATTACTAACATGGCTAAGTTCAACTAGCCGTGACTTCATAGACTGGTAGCAGCATGTTTTAGCTTGGTGATTTCTTGTTTTCTTCTAATATACTGCTTACACTAGCAGGTATCATATTTCGAGGTTGAAAGTAACCGAGTATATGTAATGCATGTCTTAACCACCTTAACTGATCAAGATTCACTGGTTTATCAATCGGTTCACCTTCAACATTCAGTCTTTACCACTAATACTGCTACTATCTCTAGCACTATGGGATTTGAACTGATAATTGCATCCCTGTGTGGCTAATGGCAACCGGAACTTATGTACGTATGTACGAAGTTCTACGCTGTAGCTGACTTGACTGATAGTAACCTGTGTTTCGCATTAAACTTAACACTATGGAGAAGATAAAAAACAAGTAGAATTGATTACTGTTAAGTGATTAATAACTAGTTCATTAAAAATCTGCTAGTTTCTTACATAATCATTGTGTTCATCAATCGGACTACAATTAGCAATATGACTTTCACAACAATTAACCAAGCAATCATAGTAATTTTTTCATTAAAATAAAACAATTCAAGCAAAGTGATATTTATAAATCGATTCCAATATCTTATTGTCAACGTAGTAATTTCCCAAATTCGTCGTAACTTTTATGAGTATGTATTCAGGTACTTATCGTTACTTTATGTCTAATTCAAACTGAACAGTAGTAAATAGTCTCATGAGAGTTAAACTTTCAAACCGATTACTATATGAAAATGTGTATCTGTACATAGTTACTAGATTAGTTGTATGATCATTCGACGATTCTGACCTTGAACGAATCGTTTGTAATGGCGCAGATGCATCCACTCTTTGTGTTCTCGCTAATTCTAACCTCCTGAATTCCCTATAATCTCTATCTTTCTCCTTCTAAATTAATCTCACTCAATTATACTTCTCGAATCAAATCGTCGCGCCCTAATCTTCTCCATTACTGCTAATACTCCTACTATCGCTATCACTGCTGGATTTGAACTGACAGTTGCGTCTCTGTGGTGATGTGGTGTGGCAGTCTGAACTGATATACTTATGTACGAAGTTCTGTGTTGTATCTGTCTGTCTGTCTATCATTTATTTAATTTAACTAAACTATGACTCTTTCATCCGGCTTCATAGAGAAATGGCTCAATGGTTAAGGCGTGCATCTTTCAACTACTTTATCGCAGATTCAAACACCTCTACATATATATACATTCTCATTGAATGTAGCTCAAAACTAAGCTTGACAAATAAGTCATTGAATAACAGTATACTTTTTTCCGCATTGAAATCATTAATCAATCATTGTTAGGACACCATTAGAAATCTGCAAGCACTGGACGGCCGTTTCATCCTGGTATGAGACTCATCAACCATGCGTGTCCACAACTCCACCTCGTGGGATTCGAACCCAGGACGCCTAACCTCTGGATCAATGAGCTGACATCCAACGGTGTCTGACATTTTAAAATTCATAAATCAACTCAATACACTTACTTACTAACTTTAAAAATTATTTCATATTGTATCGATTTATTTTTTCTGTATACAACAATTCACAGTGGTCCAATGAAGTGACAACTGGTACATTATTAGATTTAATTACTAGAACACCTCGTAGTGCTCAATATTTAACTTCAAAATGGAATACTCATCAGAAAACAATGAAACAGTCATCTATAGAAATGTCAACAAATCATCGATTGCATAATAAAGATACTACTTTTAATCAAACTGGAATTATTAAAGATTTAGAATATTATTTATCCCAGTTTATTGATCATGTTCAAGTTGTTCAACATGCATTGAATGATGTGACCATGAAATCACGTGATAAAACATCCTCCTCCTCCTCATCATCATCATCTAATCAACGAAATGATCGAACAAAAACTAGTGGTAGTGGCAGTAGTCCTCCATCGGATTCTTCCAGTGAAACACAATTTAATGCAATGCCATCAATAATCACTTTGACAGCAGCATCCACAGAGATAGATGTTGTTTTATATTCTGATGTGATTCCATGTGTCATATCAGTTCATAGGTAAGTGGAGAAAATTTTTTTTCCTAATTCTTATAGTTTGTTTATTTCATGCTTGATAATTATATGAATGTGGATATTTTTTTGTTGGGTTCGTCACTAAGTATGCTTGAAGCTATTACGAGTTTACCTTAGTCGATAAACGCGAACGAGACAATTACCAGCGTCCAGGTAGGCTACCTTGAATCCCAAGCTGTAGACAGAAGTCTTTGTAAGCGTAGAAAGTATATTCTACAAACACCCAGCAATCACAATACAAGCAAGTACACATCAGCCAATCACAGCCATGGATTTTCCTGGTGGGAAATGAAATCTCAAGGTCAACTGATCAGCCCATGCTCAGAGACGTGAAAACCAAAATAAGGCATTTATCAAGCGAATTTTGGGGATCTAACATCCCCAACATTTTCATTATTGTCATTTATAGAAAGTCGATTGAAACAACTGAAAATTATTGTGCTAAGAGTTGTTATTGGTGATTGTTTTTTGAAAAATTCTCCAAAAGCTTTAAAACAAAATATACTGATATTTTCATTTTAGCGTTTTTACACATTTGAAATCATCAGTCAATCATTATTAGACCACCATTAGAAACCTGGAAGAACTGGACGGCCGTTTCGTCCTTTTATGAGACTCATCAGATACTGAAACAACTACTTGAACGAATCAATGCTTTGCAAAAGCTTAGAAAAAAAGCACATCGTGTTCTCTAATATCTAGTTGAGGGTTTACAAGTTTTAAGCATATTCTTCCTTAGATACCTCTATTTTTTGTATGTCATATTAGATTCAAAGTAATGCTTCTGTTTCCTAGTTGAGTGGCTTGCGGGTTAGGAGGCAATAAGTCATGAGTCGGAAATTTTAGAGGGCCGGAAAAAATTAGTGTCTGTAATTTTGAAATTTCAAGATTTATCCCATGGAACAGCGGGATGAATATATACAGCATTTTCGTTGTCACAGTACCGTTTTAATAGTTTTTGTAGATAACAATGATTTATATGTGAAGCATTATAAGATTTAAATTTATCAGATTATTTTTCACCACGTGTACGATATTATTCGTGAGATCTAGTTTATGTAATGATCAGGTATCCGAATTTCTTCAGATAGACTAATTATGTATAGCGAAGTATACTGTAACAAATATTGAGTTTAATTTCCAACCTATTGATTGAAATGTGAACCAAAGGTTTTGGGTTCGAATCCTGCGAGTAGCAAGTGTCGTGGATACGCACTGTTGATGAGTCCCATACCAGGACTAAACAGCCGTCCAGTGCTTCTAGGTTTCTAGTGGTGGTTCTACAATGATTAAATCACGATTTCAATGATATGTGAACGTTAATAAATCACTTCATACAATATGAACTTTATGAAATTATAGTTTATTAATATTGAGATAATCGACATCTTAGTGACCTGGGAGTGTAACCTCACACAGCCTTTTTATGGGGAGTTTTTAATATGTTAGCTCCGCTCTTTCAATGGCCTTACTACCGGAGACGGAAATCCTTTAGGGTAAGGTGAATTGTGACATTTCTAAGGTCGACCTTTTCTAACTCCTTTTCCGTTGCGAGAGGAGAGCATCGCTGCAGATGTTGCTTGTCCGAAGCGAGCACCTTACTTCTGTCACGCTGCTCTACAGTCAGCAGTACGACTTCGCACCTAGACCTTCAGTTGCTGCTTTTAGTCGTACATTATTAAACCTAAGGGAACGTGTGTTCCAGCCAATATAGCTCGGTTAAGTCATCACAAAAGACAAGCCCGACCGCCACATCAAGGTAACAACTATGGTTGCGCAACAGTTTGGCACTGATAGACTGAGTGATCTAAAACACTTCTTTGCTTACATTATATATATATATATATATATATATATATATATATATAATCTTATAGTGTTATATCATTTGTAAAATTGTGATTTGTTAAGTTCTCATTGCAAAAATTTTGAATCAGTCACAGCGAAAAAGAAAGGTATCCTAAAAAACCTGGTTTCTTTTTGTTCTCTATTCAAGGCTTAAATCATCTGTATTCGATTTCGCCATTGCTTGTTTAATAACTGGTTACCTTGGCTTGGTGTATTTGTTTTTAGAAGTGAGTTTGTTTTTTAACTGTTCTATTCTATCTTTCTCAAAGTGTGCGGGTATGTATGTATGTATATATAATATTTTCAATATGTTGATTGAATGTGTTATAATGCTGCTACGTATAGCTATTCAAATCCTACCGACGTCCGAATTCAAATATTCCAATACGACCCTAATACTATTCCCAAATCTCCTATATATCAAGAACACAACACCGTTAAATGGAGTTGTTTATTGGGTCGAGTACAGAAGAGAGGTAGGTAGGAAGGAACGGAAATGGAATCATGAAGTCTTACAGATAGTGCGTATTTATACATTTAGGTCGAATAAGAAAGAGCATCAAGGTCTGTGACATTCACAGTTTATGACGACCAATAGGAAAAAACATTTGAAATGACATTGACAGTCTGGATGACCAATAAGAGACAACATTGGAGTATTTGACTTTGACCATAATTTTGACCAATAGAAATCGACCAATAGGATTATACTTCCAAAAATAGTACTCTTAGGATATTTGGTGAATATCCTAACAGAATGTCTTTATCTCATTGACTGTTGGCTTTTTAGAAATTAGCGTTCTTCTAAACTGTTACCATAATAATGAAGAGCATTTGACTAATCCATCACTGGGCCATTAATCGATATCAAGTATATTTAGTCCTTAGTATTAATCAAACTCTATTGATCAAGCTACTAGTCAACATAACTGATCATTGCATATACTATGTTATGATTTGAAACAATTGAAAACACTCAGAAAGAAGCTGTACATCTAGGCATAGTGTTAGTTGGTACTCGTCATCTGGACACATCTGTATATGACATAATAAAATCCCTGACTGTAATGCTGGGTGGTGACATTGGTTCCTATTCCCAAAGGCAGTATTAGCACCTTCACGGTAATTTCAGATGCATTCTGCTAAAGAGTTCAAGCTAGTACCGAACACGTGTTCAAGACATCTTGTTGTAATTCACTCCTTATTATATAACAGTTTGACATCATAACATAAAACGGCCTATCCATTAGTGTTCTGTTGATGAAGTATAACTGTGTAGTTCTAACTCTTTTTTAAAACAGTTTACATTTCACAATTTCAAACAGTTAGAAATCTTTCTGACAGTTCAGTTTTCATTCATTAGTCATTGGCAAAGTACCAAATAACTTTAATTTTTCAATTAAAGTTATGGAGATTAGTGTTTTTACACATTTTTGAAATCATCAACCAATCATTGTCAAACCACCATTAGAAACCTGAAAGCACTGGATGGCGGTTTCGTCCTGGTATGCGACTCATCAGCAGTACACATCTACAGCTCCTGCCCCTCGTAGGGTTCGGACCCAGGACTTTCGGTCTTGAGTGTGAACGCTTAACCACTGGGCCAGCATCCAACGATATTATTTTATAACTCTGATCAATCTAGAGATTTTGCGCAACCTCACCCATTTGTCTTCGGTAGTTACTGCCTGCACCCGACGTCTTTGAACTCCACTTGTGTAAAAATATTTCTGGCTTCAGTTCCATTGTTACTGAGCATGGATAACTGTTAGTCCTCTTTTTAGCTCTTTTCCCCCTAAAACTAATCCGAAAAATTAATTTTCACCATATTCATTGATATGAAAAATAAACGAGCATCTATCACATAGATTTCTTTCCCTAACACCATTGTAAAGTGAAGTGAGGAGAGAGAGACTACGTGTTTGTCACAGAACTGAAGAACATCTCTCATAACTTAAGTTGTAAATCTTCTTTACCCAAGAATAAAATTAATGTTATGTATCATAGTGATATATTATTTTCCATTTCAGTATTTTAACCATTTTCAATTCACCCTTTTTTTTTCTCCACACAGTATTTCCATCTGATTCAAAATCTTTTCAAATTCAATCGAACAACAAAGTCCAAATCTCAATGATCATATATATATATATATACATATATATATATATATATATATATATATATATATATATATATATATCCATTACACACTCCCGATTTGTACGTACGTATATACGATCATGTGTGTAGTAGTGTTGTTGTAGTCTGTTGTACAAGATCAAAAAAAAATTGAACAATTTCCTTTGTCACTCTCTCTGTGTGTATGTGTGTGTATATGCGTGTACATTGATTTCTCTTTATTTATCTGTACGGTACTCTCTGTCTCTCTTGCAATAATGCTCTAATTCAATATTTTTTCAATTGCTAACATTCTGTCACTTAAGTTTGTTTTAGTACAATCTATAATGTGTGTACATTTTCTACATTAATTTGTGTATGAACTATTATAAGTCACATTTCTACTGAGTAGTACAAATAGAAGTACTAGTAGTGGTAGTAGTAGTAGTAGCTCACACATTCACTTTCTATGTATAAAAAATGATGTATGTTTTTTTCTTGTGTGACTTGAATAAAATAAATTTTTTTTTGTGTGAATTAATTGTTGTTAGATACATTACCATTAAATGGAATTTAAATGCTGTATAGAAAAATTTATTAATCAATTAATCTGTGTAAGATTGAGCAGGTAGGTGGTTATCAAATTAGTCTTGAGGTCATTGTAACAAAAGCAAGTGTGTGTAGAATTTGTTGGCAAAAATAATAATAATCATCATCAAAAGCTTCAGGTATTAACTAGTTTGCAGGCAATTCAATGTATAGTAGAAATAGTTCAATTTATTTGTTGTCATCATTTTTATGGTGTGTTGTAACGCTTGCTTAGATAATTCCCAGCTAAATCCTATTGCTTAGTATTCTCTGACCACAATATACTGGACAAGTTCCCAAGAATCAAGAACATGGTTGAACAGGAAAAGATTATATTCCAAATAGCCAGGTTAAGTGGAAATAAGAAGCCAAAGGTGATGGCGAAGGCAAAGGCAAAATTAGATACAACGTTAGTTTATTTATAGCATTTACATGAGAAGCTTCTGGATAGAAATTCACGTGATCGAATGGATTAGATTTAACCAATCAGCACGCAGCTAACAATACGAGAATTTTCTACCCTGTTCTCCAAGACTCGATCAGGCGCTGATTGGATAGGAAATTAGCCAATCAGTGCGTAGCAACGTAGTCATACTTTAATTCCATCTATGTCCCACTAACATGGTAATACATTTGTTTTTTCAAAAGTCTAGGTATTCACTATTATTGGTACAATGTAGTGGAGACCTTGAATCCATTTAGCCGGTTTTTATGACACTTTTGTTAAGGATAGCAGATCAATTGATGGAGTAGTGAATTTTCATCAGTTGAGGTGGCTAGGGCATGTGTTACGAATGTTCAGCCACCGACTGCCTCGATGAGCTTATGTTTTGTGGTGTAGGCTGGAAGAAAGCTAGGGATAGCCAAACCAAAACATGGCACAAATACATGAAGTCACTGACAGCTGGATTGAGTCATATTGGTAAGTGTAGACTAACTACTACCTGGTTTGGGGTCAGCGACATGATCGTAACCGGTTTCTAGCGACTAAACGACATAGCGTAAAATCGTTTGCAATGGTGCAGATGCATCCAATTTTTGTCCTCTTAAATTCTAGTCTTCTGAATTTCTCATGGTTTTTTTCTCTTTCTGGATGTATTTTACTAGAACATACTTCTCGAATCATATCGTCGAGCCTTAATCTTCTCCATTGCTGCTAATACTTCTCCTACTATGAAATTTAAATTGACAATTCCATCTTTGTGTGTGCTAATGTAGTATGTCAACTTGAACTGATGTACATATGCACGGAGTTCTACGTTGCGGCTGACTGACTGGTCGTATTTTTCAGAGTTCTGAGTTGATATACTCGGTAAACGGGACGAAGAACAATGACTCAGTGACACGATAGGCTATTCTAATCCGGTTCTGCTAACTATAGCAAGAAGTCTTGATAAGGAGTAGAGAATGTATTCTACAAGTACCCAGAAAATTCGAAGTTGCTCAGCACATAAATCAAGCTTATATATACAATGATAGAAACGCCCTTGATTGAGATCATAAAGAACATAATTTGTTTTGTATATAGCAACTAGTTTAATAAAATGTGACTGTAATGCACATATCGCGTAGTTGAAAACCAGTGATTGAAATCAAATTGCAAAGCGGACATTAGTTGTATCTATTAACATAAAAGATGCTGTGGTTCATGCCCACCTCAGTCAATTTTATTCGTAATAGCACAACATATGAAGCTAATTTACTATTATCAAGAACTTCAAAACGCTCTTATGACCGTATTTTAAACTCGCTATTGTTTGACACTTAATGAGACTGACGATCCAGGTTCTCAAACCGTGGTTTCAGCGTATCGTTCTCTGGTTAAGAGGTGAGTTCTAATTACTCTAGATCAATTTCATCATCAGTAATAACCATCTGCATGGAATTCATTTTAGTGGGTTTCCGAAGCTCATGTTTTGTAAGACCTAGATTTTATACACTTCAGTGCTTATTTCTAATTCTTAGTATGGGCTATTTCAAAACTTGGCAATCCTATTGAGCATTTTATTCAAACGACCACTGCAGTAGATTGGTACTTGTCATGCATTGACATTAACAGGAGGAGTACTTCAAGAGTGGATAATTGCTTATTTCCGGGTAATGAGTTAGTAAATCCATAGAATATTTTTGCCTTCAAGTGATCATATCTGAAAGCTACATTTTCAGTGACATACACAATTCAACATGGTTAACCGGAGACATGAATTAAGTGTCATCTTAGTCAAAACAATGAACATGCAATTTTTGTGAGTGAGCTATCGGCAAGGACCATAACAGATCACGATAATACTATCAAGATAGGATAAAACATTTACCCTACCAAGCAGTCATTCTTAATAAAGCTAATCTTAAGACCACATTTAGGGCTAAGAAATAAAGTTTCCTAACGGAAGTAAACTACATCAATCGACAGAAAGTCAGTCGTACGTAAGGAGAGGCTTTAAACTAACGTGCTTTAACTTGTCGTTTCTATTAGGAGCTCAATGCCCATTCTCAGTGTTACTCGCTTGTTGGTTCTACCATACAACCGTAGAGCAATAACAATATGAGGATAAACAGACCGACATTTAAGGGATAAGTTGGAAAAAAGCTATTACCTTTAGTATTTTCTGGGTAATATAAATACCACATAATTTATAGTTTGAGAAGTAATGATTTCGCTCAAATAAAATTGGTTGACCGAAGTGAGATTACCACTGATAATTATTACTTCTTCACAATATGAATCGTTTAATCTTAACAAGATATCCCTAAACTGTTTAATGATGATTGTAATGACTAAGTATTAATTATACTGGTAGTGCTATCCAGTTTTAAACTAGTAGCAGATATACAGTTGCATTCATTTGTTATCTTTCTCTAAACTACGAGTTCGGTGTTGTTTTATTCTTCGAACTAAATGATTTATTAGAGACCGCACCTCTTGCGTTTGACTTCAATAACCGTAATGGATAGTAGTGTTTTGATTTCTTTCCCATAGCTTGGCACCTTGTGTTAATTGCTTATCTCGATAACTTTGATATACGGTGTGCGGCAATTTTAAGGCTAGTACACATACTAAATCTTAACGTACTACAACATGTCTGAGTTATATTTACCAAGTAAGATATTGGAAGATACCAGATGACAACATAAACCTAAATAGACAAGACAATTTTTAAATCTATGAAAAGGGAAAATCGAACGCTGGACCTGTTGTGATAGTAGTTCTCCAATACTCTATAAAAATAAAACCGCAGATAGTTTATAATAATATAATATAATGGACGGTCAAAGTAACAGTTATGATTTTGTTTATTAATAAATATACATAAACATTAATATACAAGATTGTGAATTATAAAGACATGTACATAAATATTTAATTAATAAATTTGTTCTTGATTAATCATCATCATCGTCGGCTTCTTCCTCCTCTTCCTCTTGTTCTTCATCTGATTCATAATCTTCTCCAGGTGTGCGACCGCTTACACCATCAGCAACTTCATAATCACTGTCATTACTCTAAATAAACAGATGGAAATGTAGACAACAATCTAAAAAAAAGTTCTTGAGAGATTGAATAAAATTCTCAATTATCAGTTATTACACACTTGAAATCATCAACCAATCGTTGTTAGAATACCATCGGAAATCTGGAGGCACTGGACGGTCGTTTCGTTCGTTTCTAGTGAGTTTATTTAGACACGGAGTAGTCATAGCTAATTAAGAGAGTAGATTAAGACTTAGAGCTAATAAAGATTTTTTTAGCTAGAAGATAGTTTTTATTGTATTGCAATGACGCATTTTGAATATCAGAGCGGCTTCCGAAGTCTCAGTTGACATATGCCAACTTACATTACTTGTGACGTCGATTCGCTCTGCTTTATAGCTATGAAACATGGGCAAGTCAAAATGGAGAATATTCGTAGGTTACTAGTATTTGAAAATACCTTTTAAGCACTGCATATGCATGCTATAATCATAGGGTGGTCAGTGTTGAGGCTAAAAGTTTAATACGCAAGGGCGATGAATCTGTTCACGAGTTAGTGAGTCTTCATCAACCAAGGTAGTTGAGACACGTATTACGCATATCCAACTACTGCCTACCGCAAACACACGATGTTGGTCAGTGTAGTAGTAAACCCTCAGTGTATGAATTTATCGACAGTTGAACTGGGCTATCTTGACAAATACTATCCAGTTGGCATCTGTTAAATTATAGTAACCAATGATTGGGGACATCGGGTGTAATAGCTCAAATCTTCAATTGAAAACGTATCTTTGTTATGCTTTTGTATTGACTGATAAGTAGAGATAGCCTATGAGTAACCAATACACAATAAAGACGACAGTATTGCTACTCTACTCTATGCTTGAAGTTCGTCGGACCAATATGAATTTGCCTCGAACACAACAAGAAAACAAGCTGAGGCATTTACATGAAAAGCTTCTGGATGGAAATTCACGTGATCGAATGGATTAGATTTAACCAATCAGCACGCAGCTAACAATACGAGAATCTTCTACCCTGTTCTCCAAGATCCGATCACGCGCTGATTGGATAGGAAATTAGCCAATCAGCGAGCAGCAACGTTGTCATGCTTTAATTCATTTATGTCTCACTAAAACCCATATAACAATCTTATAATCTTTTTATTTCATAAATCATATTAGTCTATGTTTAATATTTTCTTAACTACACTTAATGTTATCATCATTTAACAACTTTGATATCTCGTTGTGCTAATGTGATATAGTAAAATGAACCAATGCATATATATATATGTGTCACATAATCAAGTTCAACATTCAGATCATTCAACTTCCTACTCAGTAATCTAAATGTAATATTCTCATTGCTCAATAATCTACATATCCAGGATTTAAGCTCTTACAGGGTTGTCAGCGGAAACAATGCTGAAAAGTTACAAACTAGGACGGGACAGGTATTCAAAATTTCCTGAATGCAACATCGATTTTTGTTAAAAGCTAACCACAAATGTGAAACTGAGAAAAATCATTATATATGTATATATATATATAGTGAAGGAGAACACATGTGGGGCAACCGGATTGTATTTAACGAAAATTACAGAGTTACTCAGTAAAATTGGAAAACCATATCGTAAATCGTTAATTTACAAAATATCAGTTCATCATATCGAACTGGACTGTTCCTGTTGCCAAACATCAATCCATTGTCACTCACTATTCATGCGTTTCATACAAATTCCATTGTGTTCTAACTCTTTCTTCATCTTCTGCTGCCAGACATTACGCGGACACTCACGTCATATACTACTTATGAGTAGCTCACACCACATATATATATATATATATATATATATATATATATATATATAGAGAGAGAGAGAGAGAGAGAGAGAGAGGTTTACGAGAAAGATCTTACTTACATCATAATCTTCATATTTTGATTCATTTGCATCATATCCAGAATTAAGAAGATTTACTGAATTTGTTGTTGTTGTTGTTGTTGTCTTATTGATATCAGATCTAGTAAGTGATAATGGTTTGGATAAAACGCTAGATAGAGTACTGCCAATGAGTTTTTGTTTTAAATTATTATTATTATTATGATTATGATTATCATCGTTATTTTGATGAGATGTAACATTTTCATTACTGAATGATTTATTGCTAATAGTCGATTGGTTAGATTTTTTCTCTGAGATTTCTACTTCAGGAGAATAATCTGTATATTCATTCAAATCATCAACATTTGGCCTGGATTTCTATAAATAAAATAATAAATAAAGTGAATATTTAGAGGTTATATGAACCGAAAAGTATCAGATCCCTACTTATTTAGGTTAAGATTGTTGTAACGCTTGCTTAGATAATTCCCGGCTAAATCTTATTGCTTAGTATTCTTGACACAGAACACTGAACAAGTCCCCCAAGTCAAAACACCGTTTGAACAGGAAAGATTATATTCCAAAATAGCAAGGAATAAGAAGCCGGAGGTGATGGCAAAAGCCAAGGCAAAGAAGGCAAAAATAAATACAACGCCAGTCTATTTATAGCATTTACATGAGAAAGCTTCTGGAAGAAAATTCACGTGATCGGCTGGATTAGATTTGACTAATCAGCATGCAGCTAATAATACGAGAATTTTCTATCCTCTTCTCCAAGCTTCGACCAGGCGCTGATTGGATAGGAATTTAGCCAATCCGTGCGCAGCAACGTAGTCGTGCTTTAATTCCATCTATGTCCCACTAACACCTCCCCTTTGAGAAGATTCGTAGGATCTGGTGCTAGGGTCCAACTGCTTCCTGGGTGCCTTGCCTCCCGTTCTCTTACGAGCCGCCTGCTTTGTAGGAACCATATCTTTAAACAACCGTCGATTGGGCTGCTTCCCCACCGATAAGTTTTGTTGAGGCTCCTACTGTATTTAATTTGTCTGGTATATTGTTGCTGAACAAGCAGTGGTGATGATGAGTCAATTAGTCAATAAAGGACATATAGCCTGGAACAAATGTTTGCTAGCCCACTTTACCAAACGACATCAGTACAAAATAATTTAATGAATGGGATGAGTAGCAAAATAGTAATAGTAGTAATGGTACTTGGAAAGTGATAAAAAGGCTGAATCATCTTTAAGATCATGATTTAAGTGATTGGAAAGGGATCTGAAAAATGATAACCTCTAATTGTTTAAAGTAGTTCATTGTTATATTTTGCATTAAAATTCTATGTATAAAAATATCATTGTAGTATATAAAAACCATATTCTCCTCAGTCAGAGTCAGATGCAATGTAGAACTTCGTACGTAAGTACATCAGTTCATGTTGTTCTTTGTGTTCTCTCAAACCCTAATCTTCTGGATTCTTCAACACCTCTAGATTCTCACTGAATCATACTTCTTGAATAGTATCTTCTAACCCTAACCCCTCCGATTACTTCTAATTCCCTTACTACCTCTACTACTATTGGATTTGAATTGACAATTATATCTCTGTGCTGATGTGGTATGGCAACATGAACTGATGTACTTACGTACCAAGTTCTACGTTGCATCTGACTGACTGACTGACTGTTGCCACACCACATCAGCACAGAGATATTATTGTCAACTCTAATCCAATAGTACTACAGGTAGCAAAGGTATTAGAAGTAATTGGAGAGGTTGGGATTAGAAGATAAGTTTAGAAAGACAAAACTAGAGGTGTTGAAGAATCCAGAAGATTAGAATTTGAGAGAACACAAAGAATAAATGCACCGGCGCCATTGAAAACGGTTTTGGGCCATGTCACTCAGGGTATCTAACCATCGATTACTATTATCATCTCGTGGACCCCAACCAGGTAGTCGACAACTACCGACATGACTCAGTCCACTTGTCAATCACTTCAAGGATTGCCGCCCTGTTTTGGTCTGGCCGCGCCTAACTTTCTTCCAACCTATTCCTAAACTACAAAATAAAGCTCGTCGAGGTAGTCGGTGGTTAGGTACATGTAACACGTCCCAACCACCTCAACTGATGATGCTTCATCTGTTGAATTGCCATCTTTGTCTAGTACCCATACAGTATTGCTTACTCGGTTGTCCCAGGATATACGAGCAATGCTTCGAAGACACCTATGATCGAAAACCAGCAACCTACAAATATCTTCTACTCTGACTAGCCAGGTTTCACAGCCATAAAGTAGGACGGAACGAACTACCGCGCAGTACACTTGTCCTTTAGTCAGCAAACGGATATCTGGCCTATGCCATAAGTGACGCAGGTTGGCAAAAGCCAATCGATATTTCTGTATCCGAGCTGAGATTTCGTCAGTCACCAGTCTATCAGCACTGATGAGACTCCCGAGATAAGTGAAGCGGTCTACACACTCGACTACTTCACTCCCTATCACTAGTTCAGGTTATCTCTTTGACTACAACTTGGCTTACATCAATGAACGGACATTGTATGGGCTACAAAGTACCATTGCATTTTATCAATCGATCAGCATTTTCTTAAATGTTAACAAGAGAAATCTCATTCCTAATATTAGAAAACCTGTCGTAACAGAAAAATTAAATGTTACAGAGTATGGTTTGGACAAGGATAATATTTACCTAAATAATACCCTCTCAAGGAAATGTAGGAAAGCTCGACTGACAAATCAATTTTAATTTGTTTATACTTGAATAATGCATAAGTAGTAAACTCTACACTTACTTTAGGAGGATGAAGGTCTGTTGGCTCAGGCATCTGATTTAAAGCTTGCTTACGCCTTCCACGTTCGACCTGAAATTTGTTATGGAGAGTCAGTTTAAATTACTGGGGCAACACTTGGAGTTGTGGTTTTCGGCTTGATTTCTGTATCCACAACCTCGTTTTCAAGGGCAATATCTCCAAGTCCAGCATCCTATGAAGCTAAGACATAAATAAATCTTCATACCTGGAAAGCTCGAGTTTTTAGCTTTTGTTTTATCTGGTTAATGGTCTTGGTTTCGATGGCTTCAGCAACCTTTGCTAGATCGGATCCAAAGCGTCCAATAGCAGCTTTAAGATCATCAACTTCCTTTTGCGACCATTTTCCACATGTCTTGGAATCCCCATCATTTTGTTGTGCTTGAAACTGCTTAAGATCTAAGGTAAGTTGGGCTAAACGACCAAACGCCACAGATGCTTGTTCAAAAATCTCTGCCACTCTTGAGAAGTTAGACATTATTCAAAAGTGGTTGAGAACCAAGTATTTTTCTTTCACTCAAATACTATGTGGAAATTATTCCAGAAAGAAAAGTTTTCGCAGGTAAAGTAGACGAAGGAATTTGTTGTAAATAGTATTAAACTTTAGTTACACAATCGCCAGTCGTATTCTCTCTGTTAAATTTATTGAAGCAAAGTGAAGAAAATAGATGAAGTGAAATATTTACGTAACCTGTTTAAGATTTATGTGATATACCTTGACTCCTTAAATTCTAATAGGGTCAATTGTACAACAAGCTCGGACTATTATGGATCAAATTACTGTTAGTAGACTGGTTTACTTTATATCGAAGTAATTGACTTTTTAAGGTCAGTACGAACTACTTTTGTAATGCTACTGTGTGTACTAGTCAGGTCAGTACTACCTTTTTAGTTAATACAGGTGTCCTCTCGGGAAAAATATCATATAGGTTATTAAATTTCGCGAACAATGAAAGGCTTTTGAGAAATTCGCATCGAAGATGACTTACTAAACTTAATGAGGATCAAAATTGGACTTGCATTTAATACCTGAAACATGTTGCAAACTACGCTTACAGCTTAGTTAACTTTTCTTTTAAAATATGAGTAGTGGGAAAAGATGTTTCTTCGTACATTGTGATCTGAAGTTTTACGTTGTGATGTAAATCCATTCCAAGTAAGCCTTACACATGTAACAATGGAGCCATTTTGGCAATAGAACGTTCCACCTAGTCTAAGAGCATAATTTTTTTCTCATTCGTAGTATGAAAATACGGTGTTTCTTTTATTCGTACCAAACAAGGCATGCCAATAAAGTTAAAATTGGGGGAATAAGACTTAAGATAGTGGTAATGAAAGGAAAATAACAACTCTCCCGAGATCAACCTTTTGAAAGGATTCAAATACATTGGAACACATCTAAAGAATAGAGACGACATCAGTTTGAAGAGTCAGATACAAACATTGTGATGAACGCTTCATATCGTTGGATCTTTACTCATTAGAGTATAAGCATCTCAAAGGTGAATTTATGATAGTTATCACCCTAAAAACTCCTGTGCATTTCTTGGAACACTTACCTAAGCACAGTCCCAATAAGTACTTCAAGGATAAGAAGGAACAACATAAAGCAAATTCGTCATTAAAATCACCGCCTTCACGGTTCACCGACCTTCAAAGGCTTGCGTCAATGTGGTCGTTTCGCATTTTAGGTGCCTCATGTCGTTGGCTTGTTCGTGGACTAGAATAACTGCGTATTATTTGTGACTTTAGGAACTCTCTCTATTTGTAAAAGCGAAGGATGACGGGAAGCCATGCTTTTTCAGTTTTATAGGGGCATAGAACAGGGGTATCCCCTTTGACTTCATGATTTGTCGTAGTAGTAGGTGAAATATTTTAAAAAAAGATACTGGAGTTAATAACTGCATGCAAACCCTTAGTTTTATATTTCATCAACTCTGCATTGAACGTATTCCATGACTGATTTCTGCATTCGGGTAATAAAAGGACAGTACCATCAGTCGGTCAGTTACTATTATTATTGTTCAAGAAATAGAATCTAGTTAAATAGACTTAAAAAGTGAAAGACAAAGTTGATGGTGAACCCAGAAGGTGAGGATTTGACGGAACAAAAACAATGAATACACCTGCGATACTGCAAACGGTTTTTTGGGCCACATCATTCAGGGTCTCTCACCATCGATTACCATCATCTCGTGGGCCTGAACCAGGTAGTCTACACTAAGCAACATGACTCAGTCCACTTGTCAGTGGCTTCATGGATCTGTTCTGTGTTTTAGTTTGGCGGCCGATAACTTTCTTTCAGTCTGTCCCTACACCTCAAAAGATTGCTCGACAAGGCAGTTGGTGGTTAGGCACATGTAACACATGTTTCAACCACCTCAACTGATGAAGTTTCAGTGTTTCATCTTTTGATCTGCCATCTTCGCCTATTGCCTGCCTCCTAACGACAGTATTGCTAACTTCGGTTGTCCCGGGGTATACGAGGCAAGCGTCAGAGACACCTGTGATTGAAAATCAGTAACCTACGAATATCTTCTAGTCGTACTGGCCTGGTTTTCTCGAGTCTGTTCACCACGAGCTCCAGTTAGGCATCTAAGTGTTATCGAGGCTACCAATTTAGACACTATATTAGTTAGGTTGATCCCCCTGTGATTCTTACACAAAGACCTTTGTCCTTTCTTATAGACTTGGACAATCAGTGACTGAGCCCAGTCAGATGGGGTTACGCCCAGTTCCCAGATTCTACCCAAGATCTCACTCATTCTAACTGCCTAGACTGAGCCACCATCCACGCCAGCGAAGCCGCGGGAAGCAGCATTGGGGCTACCAGAAACACGAAGCATAAACTGTGTTGTGTCTCCGTGTGAAATCAAATTATTTATTTTACTCGGATGCTGTAAAGCGGTGTGCATGCCTTTGCTACATGATACTAAACGTCTGTGAGCTTTTTAGTAATTACCACATACTATCCCAGTGTTTATTGGTCCTCTTGTGGCTTCTATTATGGGAAACCGTTTGTCATTTTTAAATCAGGTGCAGAATGACACTTTGACCGAAGGTCTCTGAGGTGTAATAAGGATTTGATTGGCAACTTGTGCCAAACCTATAGTTAACCTAAATGGTGGGGACATAAAACTGAATACGTTTTAGCTTTTACGCAGGTGACAAATTTTGACTGGAAAGTCATATAATCCAAGTATTGTTCAGTATTATTTCCACCACTCTCTATAGTATATTATCCGACTTTCTGGTGCTCTTCCTTTGAACATTAGAAAAGTGAATACAACTAGGGAGTTTATCCGACTACTTAACCCTTCATTTTATTTTTCGAGAAGCTCTGCCTTTGACATTATCTTCACCAGCCCAATTCATCGTATCGCTGCCACATAGCGCTATATTTTAGTTGTCTATCTGGTTATAAAATAGGCACAAGGAGTTGCACTCATGCTATCCAAGCAAGCACAAATGCAGTGATAAATTAGGAACCCAATATCATTTTAGCATTTTACAAAACAAAGAAATAAGGGATTATAATGCACGTCATCCAGTGCAAAGTGTATACCAGTGATAACAGTGAGGACGTTAAACATCGATTCCACGATACACTGAAGTCAGCCGTCGAGAAATGCCATAAAATGACTTGACCATCGTGAAAAGACACCTAAACGATAAGGTTGGAACGGACAGGACTGAATATTATGACAGCACGGAACTACATGGACTGGGATAAAGGAACAAAGCTGGTGAAATACTATGCGAATTCAACAGCTGACACCATATTCCCACAAACACAGACACAAAGCGACATGGGTTTCAACGTACCATTCTACACATAATCAAACTGACCATACGTGCATCAATAAAACGTTCTAAGGGGCTATGGAGGAAGCGAGAACTGAGTTGACATTACTTCAGACCATCACTTGGCTAAGCTGAAACAGAAAAAGCACTGGGCAACGGGGTGAACAACATCGCAAAACTTTAATATGGCTTATCTGCAGGACACTGGCTAACCCAACAAATTGAAGATAGTCCTCACCTATAGGTTCCAAGCCTTTCATCATCTATTGGATGGAGAGGGGACTACCATGGTGAACAATGGGAAGGGGATCAGTAAAGCGATAAATTTGAAATATCGTGAGCTTCCGCGCCACAGGAAGCACCATCACAAAGAACTAATCTCTTTGGACACTCTGGATAGGATCCAAGGAAGGATGAACGAGAAGGCAGCAATCAGTATCAGCCGAACAAGAAAAGGGAAAGCCAAGACACAAACTAAGTGCATAGAGGCAAACTAGCAAATAAAGCGGAGCATCAGAGCTGACAAACGTAGATATATAACGACAAAGAACTAGCTACAACAGAAGGAAACATGATACAACCAAGAAGCTTGTCGGAAAATACCCTGAAACCGAAAGATCATTTGTTATAATGGAATTACTGGTAGTAGCCCTATTAGTGCGCATCCTACACAAAAAACCTAGTTGATTTGGAGAAATTTTGAGGAAACGATATGCAAGATATAATCTTTAAACAGATATTGTAATAATAATAGATGAAATAAGTATGTATCATATAAAGGATAGAACTTGAAATCGACTTAATACTGCCACATTAATTTTGATCGCCCTAGCACATAACTTCGCGGAAATCCAGTTTTTTCGTCTATTACGTCCTGTGTTTGCAGTTAAACGAATGTATGTGTAGCAGTGGAAGGATCTAGAAAGAGAGCTGATCTAAAAAGTTAGACCTACAATACAGTAGTCGAACCTTGCTTTGTATATAGCTGTCAGTGATAGCATTTAGGTTGCCCATTCGTGAGAGATGAGGACTGTATCCCCTGAAATATTTAAATATTCCAGTCCAGTAATGAAAAATGGATTGCTTCTGATCTTTCATAAATGATCAACAAGGTTATATCATGAGTGAATTACTCGATATTGTTAAAGGTAGCGTTTGCCATATATTGTGTTTTTGCCACCTTTCGAGTGTTTATAGTGAGATGCACATTAAATTCACAATAAATTTCATTGATATTATTATCGTTTCCTGCCTCACTATAAACCAAAACGAATGCCATGTTTATTTCCGTGTTTTTTACCTTTTAGTTTCCTGTTTCACTGCAGTTTTTGTTGCTCCTAATGATCATAAATTGTGACTTTATGCTTCATTTTATGTGACGTGGGTTGGAATCGTTATGGATTTTTACCATGAAGAGATTTGGTATGTTCAGCTTGTCGCAGGTTTACGCTTACTGAATGTCAGTATGAATTTTTTATCTTAAAATTTGGTTTCTCGCATTGTTATATGATGATAATATTGTGACTTTCACCGGATTCGATCATCAAACTTCAATGCTCAGAATGAGGTTTCTTATTCCGTTTACCCTTACCGAATGTTTTTATTCTCATTTAAGTTCCTCAGAGCGATGATATCAAATAGCTTTGTTATAATCATCGGTTTGTATGGTTTGTCTTGAATCGTGTGGAACCGGTATTTCTGTCTTTTGAAATTGAGTAAAAAAGATGTAGCACAGGCTTTGGATTATCCAGCAATTCTCATGGTGTAGTAGTAGTCTTAGTGTCAGGGCATATCTAAACTTTCTTAAAGGCTATTCTTAAATGATCGAAGCAGGTAATCATGATAAAGAGCAGTTAACTGTATTGGCCTGGAACCTATCAAGCTCACGGAAAAATCTAAGTTGGGATGCTTTAACTGTCGTTTTTTGATCAGTTCGAATAGTTTGTTACAGTTAATTGTAAAATCAGATAATATCTGACCACGATCTTTTGTGAAGTGAGTACGTGATTTCTGCTGTAGGCTGCCCTTAGGGGAGGTCAAATTGCCATAGATTAGCATTTGTACAGTCGAACTATTATCAGGACTGCCAACCTGTCTATATACAACCTTTATTGAAGCTTGACTTCGTCGAATGTAGATAAAACGCATATTTAGAGCTACATTTTAAGATTATCGCAAATGATAATATTAATTTTCGTTTGTTAGAATTTTAGGATAGCGAATTCAAATAATATGTCAGATAATAAATTTACCCAGGAGCCAGCAAATTTACTATCTGACGAATATCAACAAGATCTTTGCACATTTTCCGCATCAATTCTTTTTATATGCAGACTTAGCTTTACCTTTAATCGTTTCGCAGCACTAGCTGTTCGTCATAACGCAATGGTCGTAACTCTCGCGCCAATTATTTGAACTATACATCGCAGAGCCTGAAAAATTATCAATAATTTTATGTGGAGGATTTTAGCCATCTATATGAAGCCAATGCATCTTGTGAAATAATTAAGTGATTGGACAACCTTCTACAGAATATATGTAAGCGATTTTGACATTTTGTTCTTGCCTGTATACTGGCATGCCTCCTGTCCCCTGTTGTTATTTGAGAATAAATTATCATTAACATTAGGTGTTAAGGAAGAACACGACCCCGCTTCAACATTTTACTAAGATGAGTTCAAGATAAAACTGGGAAAACTGATAAGTCTTG